AACAGAAATCTTGCTTCTATCTATGAGCAAGGAAAACACATAAATACCTCAGGATTTTTAAAAAATTTCTTGATTTGTTAAAGAAGATTTTCAAGGTCAAGAAGAGCTGAATAACACCCTGTTCCCACCATATACATTACCTCCTGGCTCAATCCAGCTTCTCAAGGATGGTGAAACACAATGAAGAACATACTTTTTAGGGGAAAATGATGATTTTTGAGAGAAAAATGGTAACAATATGTTCTCTTGGTAGACTAGCAAAAGTGCTGGTAAAAGGGCCTTTCATTTAAAAAAAATTAAACAGACATCTCTAACTGGCTATTTTGTTTCAAAATGTCAATTTGCTGCAACTAAGAATCCTCCCTGACTTCCAAAAAACCACTTTCTTCTAAGACAGGTAGCTAGAATGTAATTCAGTTCATTAGCCAGCTAGATTTGAGGCGTGTTCCCTGAAGCACACCAGTATCTGCCTTTGGGGGGTGAAGGGGACACACCTCTAAGATGAATTAGCATGCTTCCTGTCCTCCAGTAGCTCATACTTTTAGGTACAGAGACAGCTAGTGCTCAGTTGGGGGAATAAATTCAACATTTAGTCAACACTGGTGCTGTGAGGATATAGACCTTCACTGTGTGAAACAGTAGCAGGACTCTGAGCCCTCAAGAGTGCCTGGCTGGGACGGGCTGTGGAAGGAGGATGTCGGGTCCATTACTAGGCAATGGATTGTACTCTTTCCTTCCAATGGGAAGAGGATGAGCTGCCATATTTATGGATCTGCCAGGCTATGTTGCACTTTCTGTGGAACCATCTCCTATCTGTTCTCCAACTGAAAAAGCAAATAGTTGCACTCCTTTGGGCCACATGAAGCACTAGTGGTGTGTAACAGCCCTGCCTGTTTGCCATTAGGTCTGGATGCCATCGAAGTGAGTGGCTGACCCAAGTCTGAGGCCTTGTGATGCAAGTTTGGCCCTGCCTCAGTGGCTGAGAGATTGCTTCCAGAGTTCCTAGGTAATGTTCACTTCTGTTTGTTTTTGTTTTGAGGCCTTTGGTTAGTTTGAAACTTTTCAGCTTGGCAAGAGTTTTCTTTTCAGTTCTGCATCTTTTGCTGAAGAAGGTAAATAGCTCTTCCATGAGAAAACAACAGCCAGGTGCAGTGTGGGAGTGCTACTTTCGGAGTGAGCCAGCCTGGATTCTAGTCCAGCCTCTTTATGAACTCCAGCAGGTATTTGAACTCTGGAAACCTCAGTCTTCCCATCTGCATGTAGAACAAGACTGTTTGGCTTCCAGCTAAAATAGATTATAATCAGAAAACTAAAAATTATGGAATTGCCTCCCTTTCCTACATGCAGGCATGTGCGTGTGTGCACACATACACACACACAAACCAGGTCTCTGAAAAAATCTTGGCAACAAAGAACATCAGAGAGAGGAACCAGAGGCAAGCCAGGCTGGAGACCTTTCTGGGAGCCAGGCCTGGACCTCCTCACACAGTGTTTATAGTTGCAGAACATAAACGACCAGTTAAAAGTGGGCACTTACCAATTCACACACATACGTGAGCTCCTGTGCTCCCAGACTACACAGGCTTTAGTTGGTCCTGGAAGTTTCATTTCGTGTGGAAAGTTTTTCCACTTATGTTTGGTCTTTTCCAGTTCTCTCACCTGGGAGCTCCTCAGATCCTCTGATACCCCACACAGTACACATCCTCTCCACTCCAGGGAGAGCAGTAAGGACTGTGAAGATGGGCCTCTCCACCACGGGCCTATATCTCACCCAGCGTCCAGTCTACCACCATCTCTCAGCAAACTGGAGCCTCCCTCATGGTGGCTCTGCTTCTTTGTCTGTCCCCAGCAGCACTTTCCATCCACGACGTGAGCTGGCCAGTTACTGCCACCTTCTGATCAGTGCCAGTAGCGGGCCTCCCACAGTACAATTTAAGCAGAAGCTCCTTTCTGTCCTTGCACTTTGTCTGATGTTGGAGAAGAGCGACCTCTAGTGCTGGTTTTTGGAAGAGACAGCATCTTCCTCCTGGTGAGGTCCCCTGGGATCAGTCTTTTGACAGCTCCAACCATCAGGTGGCCTCCGTGGTCCTGCAAAGACCAACAGGACTGCAGAGCAACTGTAACATTCTAGAACCCACCATCTTCCAACACCACCCCAGTCTTTGATATGAACAATGCGCATAGTTTCTCATCTTTGGTAATGGACTACACACTTTCAGCTAAACCATGTCCTCCTACCCTGAACAGACTGCCTTGTCTAAGCCCCTCCTTTAAGGTATTTAGAGCTGCCACTGGCCATAGGACATGACGTCTGTGATGCTTAGGAGACAGAGGCTTTGGAAAATGAAGTGGTGCAGCAGTGTCTGAAGGGAGAGGCATGCCTTCTCCCTCCTCGTCGTGCAAACATGTGCTGGTCCTTTTTGTTGCTGTATTTTCTATGGATTATAATCTATTTCCAGCTCTAAGTGACCTTACTTAGAGATTTCATGAGACCCCAAACTGCTATGCCTACAAGATCAAATTGAGAGTAATTTGTATGTCATTTTTGCCAATTATATCCAATCATAGGTAGGTGACCATACAGCCTGTTTTTCCTGGGGCAGTCCTGGTTGATGCCTGGCATCCTGACATGATTATTAATATTGTTCCCTTTAAGTCTGAAAAAAGCCCCATTTAGATGGTAAATTACACAGTCACCTTAATCACAGATAATCTATGTAAGAAACCACTTAGGTATTGGGGTTTAGAAGATGTAAATGGGCCTCCCCGGTGGCGCAGCGGTTGAGCGCTGGGTTGCGGAGCTGCCCGCAGCCTCTGCAGCGCCGGTTCGATCCCAGGCTGCTCCCAGGCCACTGGAGGAGGGTCCCACATGGCGCGCAGACCTCTCCTGCCGCCCGCTGCTCCCCTCAGCAGTGTACTTCGGTCCTTCTGCCTGCTCTGCTCCCCGCTCTGGCTCTGGTGAATTCTCTCACCCTCCCGCGCTTCTGACTGTACCCAGTGCATGTATAAATAAATAAAATGAAATAAATAAATAAATCTTTAAAAAAAAAAAAAAAGAAGATGTAAATGATAATGTTAACAGGAATTTGAGAATTAAGTGGTTATTATAATCTTTAGTGCATAATTAGATCTAAGCTTCCTGGCAGTGGGAACAAAAGATAAACATGAAGGTTTAAGAAGCTGATTTTGTCTTGTAAAATGACACATATTACATCTTTCAGAAGGTCATAATTTATCGAATACTGATATTTAGGAGGATTTTATATTTCACTTTAATTGTTATAGGAGGGACCCTGAGTAATGTAGGGGTGTGTCTTCAGTGGTAGATTTCGCATGGTCATTTTTTTTATATTGATGAAAATGTCAAAAATGACTATGCTTTTCTAATTGTCTCTCTCTGTGAAAAATGTGAAGACAATAAAAACTATTTCACACGGACTAACTGAGATATTACATGAGCAAGGGCCAACTAAATGATAAATATTAAACATTAGCTTTATTATTCTTGTTATCTCATCCAAACTCTTCTTTTATTGGTGGGGAAGCCAAGGTCCAGAGAGAGGAAGGGATGTGGTTAGTGGTAAAACGGGTTGACTTCTGCTTAACTCTAAATGCTAATAAAACCTCACATTACTGTTCACCAAGACATTATTGAGATTCTATCAGGCCACCAGTGGGGGCTGAAGGTTAGGAGCAGGGGATGATGCAAGAAGCAGTTTAGAAACCTCAGGACCATAGTGCCTAGAAATGGTGTTTTATGTCATCATCAAAAAAAGATGTTATTAATATAATTTTATTTTGGCAAAATAAAGCTTCTCATGATGTCTGAATCACTCCTAACTGAAAAGAACAAGGCATCTGCTTTTTGTGCTTTAAGAAAAGGCTGTTCCAATCTGGTTTCTGGGGACGCAGCCCTTTGAGGCTAGTTCCAGCAGGGGGTTTCCAGCATGACAGTCTGATCTTCTTTTATAGTTTTCTTTTTATAGCTTCTTCTTCTCCAGGTCAGGGTGTCTCAAAGTGTGATCTCAGACCAGTGGCATCTGTATCACCCAGAAACTTGTTAGGTGGGTAAATTCGCCGGTCTCACCCTAGACCCACTGAGTTAGAACCTGGGGGTTGATTTTGTTTCATGTTAAGGTTTGGGATGGGTGCTCCAGGCTATTCTTAGGGCCTTGTCTGTCTGACTTTCAAGAGACAAAAGAAGCAGATTCATGGTAATTCTCCGGCTTGCTGCTCTCCTCCAGGCCCCAGGCGGGCTGTCCTCTAACTTCTAATCACCACTGCTTTTTCAGGTGTGGCTGTAGCACTTGGACTTGCTCAAAAATGAAGAAATAGCATAGCCTTTGTTTGATGGTTTGCCTAGCCAGCACCACCTCTGGATACTAAAAATGATCTCTACCTGCATCAGATGTGCCAGATCCAAGAGTGCTACAATCTGACGGCCCAATTTAGTTTCGTTTTCAAGGAAAAAAAAAAAAAAAGAAACACTTATTTTGTGAGCTGCTGATGTCTAGTTAGATTAAAAAAAAAAAAACCTGCTTTTTTTTTTTTTAAGATTTATTTATTTATTTATACAATCACTGGGTACAGTCAGAAGCACCGGAGGGTGAGAGAATTCACCAGAGCCAGAGCGGGGAGCAGAGCAGGCCGAAGGACTGAAGTACAGTGCTGAGGGGAGCAGCGGGCGGCAGGAGAGGTCTGCGGCCATGTGGGACCCTCCTCTGGTGGCCGGGGAGCAGCCGGGGATCGAACAGGCGCTGCAGAGGCTGCGGGCAGCTTCGCAACCCAGAGCTCAACTGCTGCGCCACCCGGGAGGCCCCCTGCTTTTTTTTTTTTTATTAAAGGTAATCAGTTCTCCAAAGAAGTAATAGCCATAGCAGTCCTGAATGTAGAATTCTATAGAAACTACAATTCCCTTCTAGAAAGAGCCTTTCACATTTCTAAATGGGTCTGGGCAGAAACCACTGACTTGGGCTTGAAACAATAGTGACTCACTTTTCAAAGAATGATGTGGCTGATGGTTCTGCCTGTTCCCCCACCACTGCAGCAGACTGGGCTGTGGGCACAGATTTATCACAAGGAATCTTCCCCCAATCCTCCTTGCTGAGGGCTTCTTTCTTGACTCCACATAAACCAAAAAGGAAATGATTGGGTGAACCTCAAATTGTCCTCTTGCAGGTCTTTACTTCCAATAGAGCTTTCTGGACTACTCAGGCATTCTTCCCCAGGTGTTATTTTGTAAGCAATGTGTTGCAGGGAGAGTGGGAATTCATTCTACTTGGCATTGCAGAGGAAAGCTGTAGCTGGGAGTGTGTCCTGTGCTCCTAGCGGGGGAGCTAGAGGGTCTTCCACACCCAGTCTTGAACTATCAGCACAATTCATCTGAGCTCAGGCACTAGCTGCCAAGGCCTGCAGCCAAGGGAAAATGACTTAAGGCCTGAGAGAAATGTAACAGACGGAGATAAGTAAAGAAGGGCTCAAGAATAGAAGTATCCTGGGCCTCCCCTGGTGGTGCAGCGGTTGAGCGCTGGGCTGCAAGGCTGCCGGCAGCCTTTGCAGCGCAGGTTCATTCCCTGGCCGCCGGGAAGGGTCCCACAAAAAAAAAAAAAAAAAAAAAGGAATAGAAGTATCCTTCATCTAGAACACCAGTTCCCACCCAGAGCTGCTCTTTAGAATCACTTGGGCAGCCTCACACTGTCCCACCACCCGGCCATGCCCAGGACCCATCACGTCAGGATTTCCCTCAGTGGAACCGAGGTATCAGCAATTTTTTTAAAGCTTCCTGGTTGACTCCAACGGGCAGCCAGGGTTGAGAACCATCTTTCTAGTACCTATGTCTTCCAGAAACTGTTATTTTCCTTTCTTGCAGAACCATGCACCAGGCATGAACCCTTCTTGGTTGATATTTCCTTCATTTGAGGACCATGATATAGAATCTTGTGCTAAGTGAAAACCGAATCTGAACTTGTTTTGCTCAGGATCTATTATTTCCCTTAGGGTCTTGTATTTTTATCAAATACTTATTTGGAGTCCCAGAAGATTTCATTGGTTTTATTCAATAATGTGATACATAGAAGGGCCTATCACTTGACTTTGAACTTTCTGGTCAGTCTGGTTGAACATGATGAACAAATGAATCTCCCCTCGCTAGCAAAATATGGTGACTCCCTTCAATGTGTCTCCCAGCACCCTTCCAAAAGCCCTTTTAAAGACTGTCAACTTATAACCACAAATCTACCTTTTCCTTTCCTGCCAGGCATGGTGAGCTCTTGTCTCCTCTACGAAGCTCCTCCTCTTCTGACTACAAAGGGTCTTGTGCTAAACTTACATGGAAAAGAATATTTTCGATTTTGGAGTTTTACAGGAACTGGATGAGTGGTCACCAATTTTTGCCTAATGTACAACCCTTCCTTCTTTCTTTCAATGTTACCCTGTCCCTCACCTCTATGCACGGTAATTTGCCAAACTCTTGGCAGGATCTGAAGCATCAGTGATCATGAGAAGAGCAGAAATATGCTTCCTGTTGTGAGCCATATAAGTATATGGTCCACACTCTTGCCCTCCCCTCTCCTGAAGACACCTCAGCTAAGCACCATACCTAACTGTTTTCAGTGTGGAAAACTGCTGTCATTTCAGGGAGAGACTGTATTTCAAACCTGTTAAATGTCTATCCAGTAAGCCTTTCATTTCACCCTCTTGTGACCTTTATAGCTTTCCATAAAATGTGGGCCTTCTGTTTTCCGCTCTAGGCTATTTGGACTTACTCTCAGTCCTCCCCAGTCCTGGGGCCAGGAAGAAAGCTTCTCTCTTCAGAACAGGTTAAATCATTAAGATCCCAGCATTAGTCCAGTTTCCCTAGAAAACAAAGCCAAAGGCAAAGCTTGCATGCTAAATCTTTTCTTGGAAAAAGGATTGAATTCCAGGAAAGTAAGAATAACAGAAAAAGGGAAGGGAGGCAAAGCAAATACAAGGTAGTGAGTGCAGTACTGAACAGGCCATAGCTTCTTAAGCAAATACAGCTGGTTGCTTTGGCAACTGGTGCTTGTTCTGGGGACTGGGATGTAAAACTGGCTAACAAGAGCTGACTTGAGGCAACTGTCTTAGAATAATGAATTTAACAGGGACCCAGGACCTGGGATCAAGTGGTATGCGTGTGGGTGGGCGATAGTGCCCTCCCACAGGCACAGAGGCAGCCCCCCACCTGCTGGGGTGAGAAAGGTGGCCAACCACTGAGAGGCCAACCAGGAGTCATACAGGTGGTTGTGTGAAATGTGCACTGAGTTCAGTGTGCAGTGCTTAATGAGCAATGTGCATAGCTGTAACACAATAAAACATGCTACACTGCATACAACACACATTACATGTATGTCCAATATGTTCAATGCATCCACATTGCATGCATGTGACCTGCTATATGCACATGTGCTACATGCATCCAACATACAGAGACCACGTACTCATGCACTTCATTTGCAGACAAGCTACACTTACAAATTTACACATATGCACTGCATGCATTTAACGTAGACAAAATATACTATATATGCACACTTCATACATACAAGAAGATAACCAGAAACTGTCATCCCCCAAAGACCCCACTTTGGCACTTCGATTCTTTGACCTTCCAGGGATGGAAAAAAGGTGGGTGATGCATGCAGGAGAAGAAGGCTGTGACTCTCTTTCATTCCTGAATGCAGAAGGGGAGGATAGCCACTGCAAGAAAGATGAGAAAGATGGATGCCCTCCCTGGGCTGGGAGGAAAGCAAATGTGGAGGCCTGCCTGGTGAAGACACCAGAAGGCAATCGCCAAGGAGTTCTGCCTTACCCCACGAAGTCTGCCTTCCTGAGAAGCCTGAAGCAGCTTTCCTCTCTCCCATGTCCTCTCACTCACTTCTGGGCTCTGGGTGAAAGATGCCCACACCTCTGCCCCTGAGAGCCCCTCCCTGCCGCCATGACAGGGAGATGAAACACAGTGAAGGGAAGCCAGGGTCGTGGGCACTGGGGGTAGGGTGTGTGTATGTGTGTATGTGTGTATGTGTGTGTGTGTGTGTGTATGTGTGTGTAAGAATTCACCAGAGACAGTATGAAAAGTAGAAAAGGCAGATTTATTGATTATTCTGCTAGAAAAACAGGGGAAAGACAAGAATGTCTGTGCGGAGGTAAGTTTAAAGCACTTTTTATACTCCAAACTTGTGGGCTTTCTAAGGTTTAGGAATAGGTCTGTGCTGGCTGCTATCTACTACCATGTCAGACTGAGATTAGTCCCTGCATGTTTAGAATTTACATCAACCTTTCATGGTTACAGGTTGGCCTTTATGGCCCAGTTTCCCTCTTTGCCAAAAGTCTCCAGCAGTTCCCAGGGTAACCCTTCAGTTGCTCTTATCTGTTCAAAACTTCCCACTACAGTCTGAAAGGCAAGGAAGAGACTGAGTTTTAACCCTATAAACCCCAACACTTCCTGAAGAGGAACTGAGTGGCTCAAGAAAGGACACTTAATTCATAGAGCAAGTGCTGTGAAAGGCGGCCCAAGTATGCTTTTTGTTGTTTATCTATTCATTCATTCACTCCTCCATTCCTTCCTGATCCATGTGATGGAGGCTGAGAGTAGAAAATTTTGAACGGAGGCAGCACAAGACCAGAAACTGGAGGTAGGGGTAGAAATGACGAACATCTTTGTTAAACCAGCTATAGAAATGAAAAATCTTTAGGGCCTGCCCGGTGGCGCAGCGGTTGAGCACTGGGTTGTGAAGCTGCCTGCAGCCTCTGCAGCGCCGGTTCAGCACCGGTTCGATCCCCGGCTGCTCCCCGGCCACCAGAGGAGGGTCCCACATGGCACGCAGACCTCTCCTGCCGCCCGCTGCTCCCCTCAGCAGTGTACTTCATTGGTCTGCCTGTTCTGCTCCCTGCTCTGGCTCTGGTGAATTCTCTCACCCTCCCGCGCTTCTGCGCTTCTGACTGTACCCAGTGCTTGTATGTATAAATAAATAAATCTTTAAAAAAAAAAAGGAAGAAATGAAAAATCTTTAGGTATCAACTGCTGTAGCAAGTATCAGAATGCTATAGAGGTGCAGAGCAGATGTGGAGATATAGAGACTGAGGGCCATTGCAAAGAGTCACCTGTTGTAACACATCAACCTAGTCACACTCTAGAAGTGATTGATTTAACCCTAGATAACAATTCCACAAAGGAACGAACCCCTCCCCAAAAGAACAGTATATCAATACTATTTCTGCACTGGCAAAACGCAGCTCTCCTGTCTGCCTGTGACTAAGCATGTGCCTCTCTTTTCCATTCTCCTTTTAATAACCCAGTCCTTTTATTTTTATTATTTTTTAAAGATTTATTTATTTATACAAGCACTGGGTACAGTCAGAAGTGCGGGAGGGTGAGAGAATTCACCAGAGCCAGAGCAGGGAGCAGAGCAGGCAGAAGGACCGAAGTACACTGCTGAGGGGAGCAGCGGGCGGCAGGAGAGGTCTGCGCGCCATGTGGGACCCTCCTCTGGTGGCCGGGGAGCAGCTGGGGATCGAACTGGCGCTACAGAGGCTGCGGGCAGCTTCGCAACCCAGCACTCAAACTCTGCGTCACCGGGGAGGCCCAATAACCCAGTCCTTTTAAAATGTAACTTTCGTCTGCCTGTGTCTGTGTAAACATCTTCCTCTCCTAGGTAAATTCACTGCATGTCGCTGAAAGGGGAACTCTGCCAGAACTTTTCCCAGGTAATCCAAGTACCCTGCTCACTGATCCCCACACCTCATCAAGCTGACATCCCATCCATCCATCCATCCATCCATCCATCCATCCATCCATCCATCCATCTATCCATCCAACCCGGCTGCCTGGGTCAAGATATAAAAGTGATAATCCCATGGAAAAAGAGATTGTTTTAAAAAGATTATTTTGAAAAGTGCTCTATAAATATAAAAAATCAGAAAATCAGAGCTTGAAGTTAACATAACTTGTCTCCTACCACACTGCTTACCAATGACTATGGATATGAAGGTGTGTCTGTGGGAGAAACACTGGAAGTTGGTTCAGATTCAGCCCAGTTACTTGATGACAGGCCATTTCACTTCAGTTCTTTTGACTTTGGCTTCATCGTCAAAGGGATGGAAATAGTGCTGATGACTACAGTGTAAATAGTCATTACAGAGTTCTGAGACTGTGAAACTCTCTTCAGACATTGGAGTTATGGAAAATTCAAAGATAGATTAGATCAGAAATGACCAGTCCTAAGGAAGAATAAAATACTTAAAAAAATGAAGTTAGCACCCAGGCAATGGCCCCAGGGGATAAGGCAAACTGAGGAGTGGCTTAGAGAAGCCTAGGGTAAGTGGCAACCACCGCTGAGTGCCAAGGCAGAAATGCCCAGCCCAAATTGCCCTGGTAGGTGGGAAGCGAAGGACTAAAAAGGCAAAGAGAGTGAGCACACTCGACTAGATATGTCAAGTGAGGCCAGAAGAGCCACCGGTGCAGTGTGTTCATGGGGAGTTCTATTAGAGGAGGAAGGGGGGGGGTAATAGAATTTTTTTCTTGCTTGACTGCTCATCTTTATTTTCTAAATTTTCTAGAACAAGCTTTCAGTGTTAAAAGGAGCAATTCATCAGGAGTTCTTTGTTTGATGAGTTTTCCTGGAGATGGTGTACAGATTCTACAAGAGGATGGATCATCTTCAAAGCTGACTTCCAAACCAAAGGAATGAAGGCCAGGAAAGGTCAACTCTGCAGAGGAGATGTGATGTGGCACAGGAGGGAGGGGAGGGGATCCTGACCCTGCTGTCAATTTCACAAACTCTTGCACAGTGTCGCCTCCACGCCTGCAGTGCACAGACATAGATCCCTCTGGTCTCTGAAGTCCTGGAGCTCAGAGCAATTGTCAAGGTCTAACTGTGGAGGCCTTCCTACCTGGGTAGAGGTCACCTCTTTGGGCCTCTATCCGAACTGGGGATGTTGATATTTACTCACTGCTGAGAAGGGTTGACTTTGAATTGTTTTCTTACAAATGGAAAAAGCCTCTGATCCACTGCCCATATTGGAGAGACTAGACCAGGTCAGGGTCCCACCCCTCTGGGCTGTGTGTCAACCAGCAGTTCTGACCCCTCCTACAGCCCAGGCTGGCAGCTTGCTAGGAAAGGTCATGAAGAAAACACACTTCAATGTGTAACATTTCTCCTGGGTTTCGTAGGATTCCTGCCAACTTGGAAACGAAGGACAAAACCTGGCAACAGATGGCTGAAAAAATCCCACTGAACTGGAATGAAGATTCTCAGATTTGTGGCTGTTCATCCTGGTGCTTAGTTCACTGCCTGCATGTGCCAGGTTCTCAGAGGCTGACCTTGACTGATACTAGGTTAACTGCATCTGAGAAATTTTACTCAGTGCCTTTTTTGTTACTGTTTTAATTATGAAAGTACGAAATACTCTGACAACAAATTCAAGTAAACATAGATATAAAGTGAAAATTGTCACCCATCAATACCTGCTTTTACTAACCAGAGGTAGTAACTTTAGTTTCTTATAATTACTTGTAGCAATTTCTCAGCAAAAGTAACAGTAACACAGACACATACATACACACATTGTATACATATCAGATCTTAGAATTACTTTACTACCTGAAAAACATGTATGGAAGATCTTTCACACTGGCTATCCTATTTAATGGCTGGGAAATATATTTCACTGCATGAGTGAACTGTAATTTAGTTACCCATTCACCAAGTTTGGGAAGTATTTTTATTATTTTCAGCTTTTAGGCTTATAGTGTTATAGTGAATATAATTAATACACTACTGGACACTTCTACAAGTAAACCTAGGTTATACATACTAGAAGTGGAACTGCCAGGTTGGCTTTTAGAAAATATTGCCGAATTGTCCTTTTCTCAAAATTTATTTGAAAACAGCCAATACATGAACCTGCCTGTTTCCCTGCATCTAGTGCCTTCCTGGGGCCAGGATCAGAGGGTTCTGCATGAAGTGAACAATGTTTATGGTAGAAGTGCACAGTAATCAATGTAAACATTCCATTATTTAGTTATTTTCAGGTTTTTTCTATTAGAAATAATGTTTTAAGTGACATGTACACAAATCTTTGTCAAAACACATTAGTGTTTTTGTAGGCTCGAGTCCTAAGATGAAATTGCTGAGTCAAAGGGCATCTGTATCCTGCCAAATCATTCTTTTAAAGGATGGCCATTTTCACTTTTGCCAACAGAGCATAAGGGTGCTGCTTTGTCATTTCCTCTGCAGTCTTTTAATTTTCACCAATCTGGTTCTTTCTAAGTGTGAATGTGTATATATATATATATATATATATATGTATATATATGTATATGTATATGTATATGTATATGTATATACTGTGTAAGATTAAGGTGTACAGCATTTGACTTACATGTGTTGTAAAATGGTTAGCACAATCACTTTAGCTAACATCCATCATCTCATGTAGATACAAAAAAGAAAAAAAATGTGTTTTTCCTTGTGATGAGAACTTTCAGGATTTACTTATACCATACAGGGTAACTGTCATCAGGATCTACTCCTAGAAGCTTTCACTTATACCACACAGCTGTGTATCTGTCTTCATTAAGCTGAGCACAACATGTCCCAACTTGCTAACTTGTAACTAGAAGTTTTTACCTCTTGACCACCGTCATCAGTATTCCAGAACAGGTCATGATTTTCCATCTATGAGATGCCAAAGGAATCTCCTATTTTCCAGAGCTACTATTTCTTCTCTCCATGTGGTATTTAAGGAGTGTTTGGGCCCCATCTTCTTGCAGCTGACCCAGTCCTAAGTCACTGAACTAGCTTGAAATCGTTCTCTGGTCCTAATTCTAGGTCATGCTAAGGTTATGCTCCAGATAGTCCCATTCCACTCTGGCCGGTTTCTCTGCTCCTTCATGACCACACATACCTGGCAGAGAGCAAGCTCAAGATGGAGGGAGCTGGAGCTGACCTTTGGCATCCGTTTTTCTTATGTTTCTCTAACCAATGGCATCTGCTTGTCAGAGAGCCAAACTCACAGACATTTTAAGCTTAAAACAAACAGTTACAAAGCTGAACTTTGTCTACTTAATGACAAATATCCAGAACGCTGAATATTGTATGTTAGGGTTGTTGACGTTGCTTATCACATGTGTTAGGATTTCCCTTCCCAGCTAAAGGCAAGCCTTGAAATAATACATACAGAGCCTGTAAGAGGATTCCAGGGCAGTACACCATGCTTTACTGAGAATGAAGAGGATTTCAGGTGTAGCTGACTTGTGACTTCCTTGAAGAGAATCCTGCCTGCTGACAGTGCCTGGAAAGGCTGCTGCTTCCACTCAGACCGCTAAGGTGAGAGAAGGCTGAGAACTATCAGCCTCAAATGTCGGGAAGAGCCTTGTGTGAGGGGAAGAAATTGGGGAGGAGTAATTAGTCCTTTGGAAAAAGAAGTGCTGGCAACCCAATACAAAGAAGCAGCAACTTTGCAATATTCATTTTCCTACAGAAATAGTAACCTCTGTCCCTGGTAGCAAAAGGAGAAGATAGAAATAATACACATTCATTGGAAAAAATTGGAAAGATATTGATATAAGCATATGGGTTTGTGTCCTTTTTCAAAAAAAAGTTTAATATGTAAAATATTCTTTGAAAAACAGAAATTCAGGAAGTTAAATCAGATATAAGGGTTGAGAATCTTGTCTCATATTTTGTCTTTCAGTTTAAGTGGTCAATTAGAGCCTAGAATCACTTTTCCTAATTGAGGGCACTGCATCTTGGCTCTGTATTATATGCATTAAAAGAAATTTCTAAGAATCTAAGCAGGGCCTCCCCGGTGGCGCAGCGGTTGAGCGCTGGGTTGCGAAGCTGCCCGCGGCCTCTGCCGCTGGTTCGATCCCCGGCCACCGGAGGAGGGTCCCACATGGTGCGCAGACCTCTCCTGCCGCCCGCTGCTCCCCTCAGCAGTGTACTTCGGTCCTCCTGCCTGCTCTGCTCCCCGCTCTGGCTCTGGTGAATTCTCTCACCCTCCCGCACTTCTGACTGTACCCAGTGCGTGTATAAACAAAAACAAAAAACAAACAAACAAACAAATAAATAAAAACATGCCTCTATATAAAAAAAAAATTCTTAAAAAAAAAAAAGAACCTAAGCAACTCCAATTTCTACTAGGTTACCCACACTAATAATGTCCAGCTAGTTATCGAAATGGTTATTTTAAATTATATACTACAAATAGACTTATAACTGAGATTCTTTTTCTTTTCTTTTTCAAAGCAAGAACCTTTGAAAATAGTCTTTCCAGGGGGCCAGACTTTTTTCTGTTTCTACCATTTCCTAGTTGTATTGCTGTTCATGAGTTATTTGACCTCTCTTAGTCTCCACTTCCTCAACTGCAAAGTGGATGTTCCTTTTAGGGTTGTTTCAGGGATTATATAAAATATATAAGACATTTTTTATAGCGTCTGGCATACAGTGATTAATCATTAATTGCTAAATTGTGTCATGGAAGACAGGGACCAAGCATTGAGTTATCATTGCATTTGAAAAACAACGCATTATGCCTGGAATATAATAAGGGCTCAATCCATGTGCACTGGATGTAGTTTATATCTTGCTGAAGGTGGGAGTGGGATGGACAGAAGTGGGGATACTGGGGAAACAGTAGGTCCTGAATGAACTCTACCCACTGAAGTTTTATGGACTCTTCCTCCACCCCCATGCCAGAGATCCGAGGTGCTGAGGATTACAACTCCCATCATGCCATAAATCAGCTACGACTCTTGACTTCCGGAAGGGGGGGGATTGCTGGGAACTAAGAGTAGAGTTAAGCAGACATGCTTGGTGTAAAACAAAAACATGGTCCTGGAGAGGGGCTTGATTTTGCCTGCTTTCAGCATGTACTTGGGGGCCCAGCTCAGGTAGCAATACCAGTAGGACATATTGACTAATTAATATATCTCTTTCTCCCTCCTTCTGCTTCCCCTCTTTTCATTTCCCTTGTAAATAAACCTTTTATTAACCTTTCTACATGTTCCTGCCCTTAGGTCTTATTCCGAGTTTTTTTTTAAGCACTAGGGTGAGGACTCACACGCAGGCCATCCCATTTCCCATTGGGGTGGCCCTGTAACAGGGACACTTGTTTTTTATCTCCACATATGCTTCCCTCTTCAAAGAACTCAAAAGAACAGTATCTAAATTTCTGGTCCAATCCCCACCACAAATTCTGTGGCTTCAACAGTTATTTAAATTAAATGTTAGAGTCAAGAGGTAGAAAGGTAAAGGGAATTTGGGGTCTGATATGTCCCCTTATTTCCCTTAAGCTCCAAGCACTTCTTGCGCTTATTCATCCATGGCAGGGACAAGGTCGGACCTCCCAGTTTCATTCACTGGCAGAATTCATTATGACAGTCATGCAAAGATCAAGCTTCTTTTCTGCAGACTAGATTCTAAGCACTACAACTTTGATTTTAAAATGATATATTGATCTTTGTCTTTCTTTCACTGTCAGTTATAGAAAAAGCTACATGATACTTCTAAAATTCTGCAGATTAAGGATATGTTAATATTAACACCTCCACCCCTACATTTTTTAAAACAGAAAATTCAGTGGCGCCCACACAAACAGAAGACTTTAGAACGGGGTCATTATTCTCTATCCCCCCAGCTGAACTCAGCACAAGCACTGCAGTGTGGGCTCCTGGAGGCTTGGAGGTGGTTGGCTGAGGGCAGGGTTTAACCTGCACCATTAGACATCTGATACTTAACCACCGAGGGCAGAGAAGACCAGGAATATTGGGAGATGGGTTAGGGCTACATCTAGGAGGAGGATCGGGACCTGCAAAGATGAGGGAATGATTAGCTTGTGCTGGGATTCAAGAGGAGTGTGATTCAAGAGGAGTGTGAGGTTTGAGGCAATTGAGAGATAATAGAGTGAAGGGAACCAGCACTGTGGGCTTTCTGGGCAGGGGCATCTTTTAAGGGTGCTTCATGCTAACCGAGAGTCTTTCAGGATGCTCGTCTTCTCTAGTCTGTCCTGAACCCCTATAGGAACTCTACTACACTCACATGTCCCTCATTTGGAAGACTTACTTCTAGTAATTCCTTTAGCTCATGTCTCATTTGCCCCCTTGAAGATAGGGACTATGGGTCGTGTCCCTCCCGAACTGAGTCTGGTAACTTGCAGCAGCATCCCTTTTGTGTTGAAAGATGAAATGTGTTAGGTGCTGAAGACTGGGTCCCGGGCCTGAGACATTGTATCCAGGCAGAAAAACTGGTTTTATTTTTCACAAGGGGCTGAGGGAAAGGGGTGGGCAAGCAGGTGACAGAATCTTGGCGCAAGCTGTGTTGGAAGCGACCTGGGTTCCATACTATCTCCAAGGCCCTATTTTACTACTGAGCTAGGAGTTTCTCCAGTTTCAAAGTCAGCAACCAGGACCTTGGAGGGCAGGGAGAGGTTTAAGTTGGGCTGAAAATGCCTTTGTTAGACTCTTACCTAGTTCCAGGTCTTTACCTGGTCCTGTCTCCTCAGAGTCTGATACTTCCTGCCTGTCTCTTGGAACTTATTAGCGATGTCTTAGAGGCCAGGGTAACGGGGAAATAAAAGGAGCAAAAGCGCAAACCAAACAAATCCTCGTTTACAGGTTTGGGAAATGTCTGGGAAGAACAAGACCTGAAATGTGGGCTGAGAGGCCTTTTGGGGGCTAATTATTGGCTTGGCTGAGTTCCCCCCAAAAGGAGCCTGAGTGTAGAGGGAGTTACAGGTAGTTTACTCAGGGGATGAGTCATAGGAATGGAGAATGGGGGAAGAGACAAAAGGAACAAAGGACCCACGAGTATATTGTTGAGTTGACAAGTTGGGCACTATCATGGGCAAACAGGATTCTAGTCTCCAAATGCTATGTAGAATGTGTCTTGGAATTGCCTGCCAGATGAAAAAGCCAAATACTTCTTCACCAACTCCTGCCTGCCTTGGTGGAAGGTTGCCCCATGCGGTGTTAGGGCCTTTGCATTTCCAGGTGGCTGCATGTCAGAGCGGATTTCCAGTCTGTAGTGACAGAGAAACCCTGAGGTAGGAAAATGTCAGATGCAGCTGAGGTAAGATACTCAAGGTTATACCTGTATTTGGTTGCCACAGCAAAGCTGGAGTCAGAAGATGGGCTGGGGAGATGTAAGGTCAGCCCCAGAAGGAGTCTGATACAAGTGAACACATCAAACATCATTTCACATAGTAGACCTTTTTGTCCATTTAATTCTTAGCCCACAGGCAGGGTGTATGGTTTTCCTAGGTGAACCTATTCATTCTTCCTTAAATTAATCCCTTTTCCAGCAACACATAACCCTCAAAGAGTAGCCTGGCAGTTAATGATGTGTTGACTGGGAAAATGTGCAGAGCCTATTCTGAAATACAGCACTCAACCAAGTACTCTGGCTTGAGTCTGTCTGGGAAATCGGCACAGAGAACTAAGCACATTCTCACTTCATGATTCTCCCAGCTTTTTTATAAAGATTTATTTTTGGGCCTCCCTGGTGGTCCAACAAGGGGTTGGGCCCCAACAAGGGGTTAAGCACCGCACTGTGAAGGAATCTGCAGCCTCTGCATCATGGGTTCAATCCCCAGCCAGCCAGGGAGAAACCCAAATGGGGCAGCAGACCTCTCCTGTCTTGCCCCCTGCTCCCTTCAGCAGTGTATTTTGGTCAGTCTGCCTGTTCTGCTCCCCATTCTGTCTCTGGTGAATCCTCTCACCACCACCCCCATCCATCTCTGGCCTGTACCCCAGCTCTTGTATGTATAAATAAATCTTTTTAAAAAAGATTTATTTTTATTTATGTATACGCATACAAGATCTGGGGTGTAGGCCAGAAGTTGGGGGGAGCTGGGAGTGGAGGGTGGGGTGATGAGAGGATTCATCAGAGTGGAGAGTAGAACAGGCGGATCTACTGAGATACACTGCTAAGTGGGGGTCAGGAGAGGTCTGTTGTGCCATGTGGGCTAGCTCCCTGGCCCAGGATTGAACTGCAGTGGCTGGTGATAGCTTGATAGTGCTGAGACTTTAACCCCTGCGCCACCAGGGAGGCCCGACTCTCCCAGTTTTTAAGGCTCTATTTGCCAGGAGCTGGAGATAAAGTAATTCAGTCTCAGGCCCCAAGTTCCACCAGGCTAGTGCTTCCATTTTCATCTGCCTAGCCCTCTCCAATCAGTCCTAAACATAGCTCTGCCACAAATTTGTCCTCATCGTTTCCTTCTCCCTTCTCTCAGCCAGTTTCTCATCCTGGAAACTTGGGGGAGGAGGGGTAGGGCAGGGAAAGGCAGGCTGATCTGTCCCACTGGCCTCTTATATACTATTATTGAAACCCTGGGAAGTGGTACTCTTCTTAAATTGCTTTTAAAGACCCGTGCAGCAAATCATTAAATTTCATCAGATCAAAACACAAATGGAGAACAAAACCTACCAACCCTGAGGACCTCTAAAGACAGCCAGTGTGCAAAGGAGCTGGGAGGGGCCGTCCTTACTAAGGTTTTCACTTCCTGGGGTGCGGCCGTTCCCCGTTGGGTTCGGTCCTGTGCGGGGTAACCTTCCCCGCCAGCCCCAGGAAAGGCCAGCGGCGGAGTAGGTCTGGGTTGGGCTTAGGACCGAGCCGGGCAGCACGCAGGGGGGTGTGCCGGTCGGGCCCTGGCGACGGCGTGGGGGGCGGCCCTGTCCCGGCCGCGCGGCGACGGGGAGGAGAGGCGGGTGCGCCCTCAACCCGGGCGACGCGGCCGTCGGGCCCCGCCCCGCGCTGGCCTGGCGCGCGCCCGAGGTGTCGAGGCGCGCCGGGGTGGCCGAGAGGAGCCTGCGAGCGCGGGAGTCGGTAGAGGGGCTTCTGAGGCAACGGCGGCAGCGCCCCCACTCGGTCGCCCAGTCGGGAGCGCCGGTGCTAGTGACACCAGGGCTGAAGGTGAGCGCGGCGGCGAGCCCTCCGCCGCCGCATCCCGGGCCGGGGCTGGGGAGCGGGAAGGGGCCGCAGCCCCGCAGCTCCGGCGGGGCGCGCCGGCGCCTCTGCTCGGCCTGGTGCGGTCCGGGGCGGCCCCTCAGGCGGCGCGCCCGGAGGCGGGCGGGAAGGCGCCGGAGGCCCGTGGGCCGGGCCCTGTGGGCCGGCCGGGAACGTGAACCTGCCCGCCAGACCCGTCTCAGCCCCAGGTGATCTCCCCGGTGCCCTCCGGGGCCGCCTGTCCGGGCTGGGAACCGGCCCAGCAGGTATTATTCGGAATAAAGCGCCCGGCAGGGGGAGCCCCGGGCTGACGCGCTGCCCAGGGGCGCCTCGGGGAACCTTCGGGACGCAGCGCCCCCCTCAAACTGCCGCGGCAGTTTCCAGAGGGACCTCGGTCTCGAGAAGGGAAGGAACCGGCCCAAGGTCACTTCGTGGCCAGAGACCGAGCCAGGACCGAGACCACAAGACCCGCCTTCCACCCCCGGATTCTGGGCTCCCGTCAACGCATGTCCCCCGTTTTGCCCCGCATCCCTCTTCCTACCCCGTGTCCCCCACGAGCCCTGTTCTCGGGGGCTTGGGGTGCCTCCCGCCGCCCTCCCACCGCGCCTCCAAAGGACGCTGGACCGGGTCAGGCCGGCTCCCCTGCGCACGGCCCGGGCCGGCAGTTGCTGGAACATCGAACGGGGCTGCCTGGCCGGGCAGGCGCGGGACGGAGCGAGGCGGCGGCGCTGCGGGCGGGCGGGGGCTGCCGGGATCGCTGGGCCCCCGATGGCAAGGCCCGGAGCCGGGCAGTTCGCCCGCGGGAGGACGGGGCGGCTTCGCCTGGGCGGTGCCGCCGCAGCCAATGACTGTGCGGTTCGGGCCGAGCCCCTCGGCTCCCCGCCCGCGGCGGTCCCCGCGAGCCGCCCGGCGACAGGCGGTGCCGCGGGCGCGCGGCCAGGCGGGGCGCTGGGTGAGGCGGCGCCCGCGCGCCCGGCCGCCCGCCCCTTGCCTGGCCGCGGGAGCGCGCCCGAGGGCGTGGGCCGGGCCTGTGCGCGCGCCTCGGGAGCGCGTTCTGCGCGCAGCCGGCCGGGGGCCGCCTCGCTGGGAACTGGGCGGGCCCGGAGGCGGGTCTGCGGTCTAGCTCCGCGTAGGACTTGGAGCTCAACGCTTTTTTCCCTGCGGGTCGGCCAGTCGGCTCACAGTCAGCTGATGCAGAGTCACCGTCTAGCCCTGTGAGGTGTTGCAGAGACGCACGTTGCGGAGGGCCGCCTGCTGGGATCCTTTATGACGCAGCAGGGGTTCTGCTTACCGAAGCGTTGGAGCAAGGCCTGCGCCGGGAATGTACCCTCGGCGGCGAGGAAGCCTGCTTTTGAAATTTGTGTAGCTTGCATGTTCTCTCAAAACGCAGATATAGAATGCTTGCTGTTAAACACCAGAATTGACCTTTGGGAGGAGCTAGGAGTCAATGATTGAACACGTGGGTCCTCACTGTGGGGTGCTCACAGTCCAGGTGGGTATCTGGTCAGATGAGGGTTATAAGTGGTTACAACAGAAGCACCTCTAGCACTACCGTGCCTACCTAAGTGCAGCTACAGAGGCACTGAAGGCAGTGAATGTGAATGGGTGGCAGACTGATTTTTAATTTTCTTGATCAGGAAAGACATCTTGGAAGAGGTTTTATTTGAATTGGGATTTCATCAGATTGGGTACAGAATGAACAAGGTACAGAATGAACAAGGTACAGAAATGGGAAGTACAGGACTTGTTGAGAGATGGTATGGCAAATGGGTTAGTGAGTAGATGAGAAAAAGTTGGAGATTTGGAGGTGTCAGGTGAGGACCAAGAGGCCCAGACTGTGTACTCTGATTTGAAATGTGTTAAGCACAGAAGAATAGAATGGCTTATTTGTCAGCTATACTAATGTCATTTTTAAACATCTAAACCAAAGATATTGGAAATATCTGTGATTCTTTAATATTCTGCATTGATCAGTAAATTATAGAGGGCTCTACCTTCAAAACAAAGCCAGACTGACCATTTTTAATCACATTCATCCCACCCAAAAGATGGCCACTGCAGAGAATGTTTGTGATGATGTGATATGTTCTCTGAGAACTGGCCATCACCTAAATTGAATAAGGTGACTAAAGTGTGTCTTAGACTGATCAAAGTGTCTGAGTTAGGTTTACCTTCACTGAAATGGGCTACAAAGTCGAATCCTTGACTGTTATTGGAAGTCTCTGTTACACACAGACCTATGAGTCATTAAGGATAGAATGGTGGTAAGAACATCATCTGCTATGTCATTTGATGGTCCTCTATAATGTTGTTAGACTTTTGGCCCAGAGTAGTTATATCTTTAAGGAATAATAGATTTTTTTTTTTTTTTTTTTGCACACGTGCTTTAAAAGTTACCAGGTTTCCCTTTTGCATGGCCCCATTAACTGCGCAGTTAGCATGCATAGCTGAGCTAGGCTGGAGCTTTAGGCAAGGCTGTACTAAATGATCAGAAGGGAGATAGCCAAAGGATATTAACTCTTCTCTCTGGTTAGAGATCTGGAATGCTCACAGTTCCCAGGTAGTTTACAAAGGTGATGTGGGTGGCCTTAGATAGTAAGTACAAACGACTAAGTTCAGGTATAACTTAGCTACTCAGTTACCTTTTAAAACACTAGGCTGCCCAAACAAAATATCCAAGAAGAACACTTTGGAGGCAAGCTGTCTCACCTTAGAGTCTCAACTTGTTGGTCTTCAACTTCCTCAGTGTGCGGTCTCTGCCTAAACTCAGCTTGCCCTCCTCACTGGAACAAGACCCTGCCCTCCTACTTGATAATACCAAGGCCCCTCCAGTTTCCATCTAGAAACAGAGAAGTTCTCTTTCCTACCCAAGGCCTTTCTTCTGAGTCCCTATTTCCTGCTGAATTCCTGCCTCTTCTGAGGATGTCAGTACTGGAAACATCTGCCCTTTACAGAAGAGACTTTCACCTTGAGCTTGACCCACAGGAATGCAGCCAGCTATGTCCTCTACAAGATAATCCTGTCAGAATGTAACAAGGGTGTTCAGCATTGGGTCATGGATGCAAACACTTCTATTTTTTGGAGAGGGCTTTCCATGGGTTACCTGCAGGAAAGGAGGTGGCACCCTTTGAAACAGACCCAGAGAGTCCCAGTGTTAGAAGTTTCTCCCACATTACAGATTGATATGAGCATCTTGATTTTGTGACAGTGCCTTATAAATTTGGCCTCTGGAAGTCAAGCCTACTGTGTCAAGTCACCTGGGCCAGCTGTGTTCAAGGTACGGGCTACTGTCCCCCGCCCATAGGGGCTGTGCCTGTCTCCTTGCAGCACCCACCTTCCAAAGCCTTGTCTGTTTCCAAACCAAAAAGCAAGTGAGTGGTTTTTCAAGTTGAGAACAATATTTTCAGAGAATAAAGCCCAAAGCATTAAGATGGCTGGCAACCTTGAACTGCTGGTGAATCCCACCCCCTTATAGCATTGTGTTTAGAGTGGGAATAGCAATATAATGAAGAAACTCAAAAAAAGAAAAATAAGTCTGAATTTCTGTTATTCCACCTATGAGACTAAATTGTGTGCATCATTTACAGGGCATCAAGGGGCTGAGTTTTCAGGGATTTTAAACTATTTTGACTCTAGCACTTATAGGTATTGCTGACCAGAGGAAAACAAAATTGAAGGCAGCCTTCTATTTGGAGATAATATTGGAGCTTTCTCTGCCACAGGCATTGAGCGGAAGGGATGGAAAGGGCTTTAATTATAGACAATTGGATTTGAAATCACCCAGTGGTGGTGACCTCAGACTCCAGTCCTATTGGGAGGGGTGGAAAGGGATGTGCTCTGCCAGCTCTCAGTACTTAGGTGGGGAGGGGGCCCCTGTTAAAGACTCTGAGCCCAAAGTGGGCCCATGCCTTCCACAAAGGGCCAAATTTGGGGGGCAAGCACACAGCTCATCCCTACTCAGCAGGGAGTTGCTGAGTGCCTTAGTGTAAGACTTTTCTAGGCACAGAATTCAGTTGTGAACAAGAGACACAAGAGTTTATGATCTAGAAAGGGAAATAAAGAGCCAAGATACTTTTATTTTTTATATCTTTAAAGATTTATTTATTTATGCATGCAAGAGCTGGGGTACAGGCCAGAGATGGGGGTGAGAGGATTCACCAGAGACAGAGCGGGGAACAGAACAGGCAGATTGACTGAAGTACACTGCTGAGGGAAGCAGCGGAAGAGACAGGAGAGGTCTGCTGCACCATGCTGATTGCTCCCTGGCCGCTGGGGATCAAGCTTGTGCTTCATAGTGTGGTGCTTAACCCTTTGCGCCACCAGGGAGGCCCCGAGGCAAGATACTTTTAGATTGAAGAGTGATTTTATAAAGAGCAACCATTGTGTGTTGCATGGAGGATCAGGGACATCTTCTTGGAAGTCTGAAGTATTGGAAGAACCCAGCCAGTGAGCAAGGCCAGGCCCTGAGGCAGGAAAGAGCCTAGCACATCAGAGAAACTTTCAGGTCAATGTGGCTTCAGTGCAGAGTGCCAGGGCAGAGTGGAGACAGACGAGGCTAGGACAGGAAGCAGAAGTATGCTCCCACAGTCTTGGAGAGGGGGCTTTTAGGCAAAGGAGTCACACAACTTGGCCTGTTATACAGAGATCTTTCTGCCTACAGTGCTGGGAATAGAGTGTGATGTCAGGGCTGGAGTGGAAATAAGGGAAATATCATGCAAACCAAAGAGATCCCTATTTATTTTTCATTCCGAAGGATAAAACAGAGTGAAGACTTCTATCTGCCTCCTGCTGTGAAAGCTGCAGTGGTTGGCTAGTTAATGAACTTATTACAGAAATTCTGAGCCAGTAACTGATTGTCAGGTTTGGGGTGACAGCAAAGGGGCAGGGTGAGAGCTCCTCCCACCAGAGCCTTGTTGCTATGGATAGGAAAGCAAACCACAAGAGTTGTGCAAAGAGCAGCTAGGCTTCACCAATGAAAGAACAGCCCTGTAGTAGCCCTGCTCAACTCCTTCCCCAACCCCTTCATCCCCTTAAGCCAGAAGGAATCACTGTTCATCAGAGCAGGAGTGCAACTAAAGCATGTCACGTGATCTATGACCAGTCACAGTGCTGAGTCGCTTTAAGGTGACACCAAGTGAAACATTGGCTTGTTGCAATGAGATTTATTTAATCTTGGAGGGGGTGGTGAGAGAGACTCTGTGTGTGTATTTTAATTTAGAATGATTAAAGCATGTGCCTCATTTTATGGCTCCAGCCTCCATGCTATATACAGCTACTGATAAATTCAGCCTTAGAGCCAGACCCTGTGTTTGGGTGGAGTGCGGGAGAGAGATGGAGAACTGAGTAAATGACATGTCGCCTGGGACTGGCAAAGCTGCCTGCAGAAGCATGTGGGCAAATTGAGAGTGATGTTTAGCTGGATATGGAGAACACAGACAGGAAAATGGGACTCAGAGTCTGATCCCCGAGGGTTAAGACCGGATTCCCTTGCTGACCTGGTCTAGGTGGGTGACAGCTTGTCCAGGATTGAGTCAACTAGGCATAGTTGAGTCCAGGATTGAGTCATAGGATTGAGTCCAGGATCACATAACTAGAAGCCCTGAAAGCAGCAAGGTGATGCTGAGGGTGCATTTTGTGTTTCAGAACCTACTTGGAGGTGAAGCTTTCTACTTCTCGTGCCACCATGCTGACTCTCCGCCTCTCCAGACCCCTGTCACAGCTCCGGGGGAGAACCTTGAGTTTCTACAATAGAGAGATTGAAAAGAGGTAAGAAACTGAAGCCTGGGGTGGCCTTGAAGGTCATACTTTGTGGGCCAAGCAGAGCTCGTCACACATGAATGATGCAGGCACTAATGGGAGCTCACCCTCGAAGATGGCTCTCACACCTGCTGCCCACTTGCAAAGGAAACTAGGAAGACAGAGACCTTTCCAGGGCACACAAAGCACAGAAGAACATCTTTCATCACTGCTTTATTTTATTTTATTTATTTATTAAAGATTTATTTATTTATTTATGCAAGCACTGGGCACAGTCAGAAGCACGGGAGGGTGAGAGAATTCACCAGAGCCAGAGCGGGGAGCAGAGCAGGCAGAAGGACCGAAGTACACTACTGAGGGGAGCAGCGGGCAGCAGGAGAGGTCTGCACGCCATGCGGGACCCTCCTCCGGTGGCCGGGGAGCAGCGGGGGATCGAACCAGCGCTGCAGAGGCTGCGGGCAGCTTCGCAACCCAGCGTTCAACTGCTGCGCCACTGGGGAGGCCCACTGCTTTATTTTTTTTTTTAAGTCTTTATTTTGAAATAATCCACACATAAAAACAAAAGTTTCAAAAGCAATACAAAGTTTCCGTAGTCTCTTCAACTAACTTCCCCAAATGCTAATGTCTTACAAAACCATAACGGAATAATCAAAACCAGGAAATTACCATTGATAGAATACTGTTAAGTAACTGACAGGCTTGATTCCAGCTTTTCCAAATGGCGTAATAGTGGACCTTTTCCTGTCTACAAACTGGGGTCCCACTATTGTCATGTCTCCTAAGCCTCTTCTCAGTGCATCCTATTAGGAGGCACACAATGGGACTTGTTACTCTGATCACCTGGATAACTGCTCTCTTAAAATCTCACACCGAAATCAGTTTACTCAAGTACCCTGAGACTTCACTGAACAGTTTATGTGATTTAGAGGAAGTGTTAAGTACAAACTGAACAGCCATCTTTTCTTCTTTGAGAGCTTCTAGAATTGCCTTTTCCAAAGGGATTCAGTGTGCCCTGCTACGTCATTTTCTTCTTTTGCAGCCAGAACAAGAAAAAAAATAGTGCTTGCTTTTTGGTATTTGAGAGGAGTGAAATTAAGTGTTAGGTTAAAGGCAGAGTCCCAGCAGCTAGAAACTTAATGGATATTTTCTTGCAAATAAATATGTTTAAAAGAACATGGATTAAGGCTCTTAGCAGCATTTCCATGGGCTACAGAAACTTAATTGGAGATGGGTTTCAACTACCAGATGACACCATGTAAAGAGTTTTAAGATGGCTCTCCAACACAGGCAACTTTCCATCAACGAGGAAACAGAGCCTGGCTCTGTTGAAGGGCTTTTGAAGAGAATGACTTACTGCATTATTTTTTTTTTTTTTTTTTTTTTTTTTTAGTGAGTGACAGCAGTGGCAAGATCTATCTCAAATGTGGCTCATAGAGATTCCTGGCGAATACTTTTTATACAGGAGAAAATAATCCTGAAGGAAAGGATTTGATTAAATTCCTTTACAAAGCTTTTATCACCAAATTAAAGAGAAATGAGGCATCGGTGAGGCTTCTGGCTCACTTAAGCGGGAAGAAAGGCTGTTACAGGAGATTCAGAATTTTCTGAAAGAATTGTAGAAATTACCTCATTAGGTGGAAGGGGGTGGGCAAGGTGAATCGCAGCACATTCGTCCTTTGGGCAAAGGCACCAGCAGAGGTCAGGATAGACACTAGGGGTGTGAAGAGGATGGATTTGTGGGTGATCACTGAGCCTGGACCAGTCAGAAGGTCTTGGGTGGGGAAAAATTTGACCCAATCATTTTGCTTGAACCTCAGGTACAGAGAGCCTCACACTCCAGTCCCCACATACAGGTGCATCCTGTCATAGCATCCTTGACAAGTGATTTTATAGCCTCTGTAGAATATCTCCAGTATGGGGTGGCCAGTGCCTCTCATAGCAAGCCTCTTGTGTTTGGACAGTGCTATTATAAAGTTCTTCTTTATATGGAACAGGTGTATTTTTTCCCCATATATGCTACCCCTCATTCTTGGGTCTGCCCTCTGCATTCATATTGAACAAGTTAATCCCTTATTCCAGGAACACCATGGGATTTCAGTACCCATCTGCCCTGACTTCTCTTATTCCATCTGAGCGTTTTCTCATTGTTCACTCCCATGGTCTCACCTTGTAGCATCTCGGTCTTTCATCAGAAAGATGCCACTCGGCCTGTCCTCCTTATTAGGATGTGGTGCTCCAAACCAAACACCTCCACATGTACCTGTCTCAGAGCAGCAGTCACCCAGCACACAGCAACTGTCCAGATGAGAACCAGTTATGGCCTCAGCCCCTCCTCAACCCCTGACAGCCCACTCTGCTTCCTGGCTTTGCAGAGCAGCACTCACCCACTTTCCTTCCCCTCCCTCTACTGGGTTATTTTGTTTCTTTGTTTTTTTGAAAGATTTATTTATTTATGCATACAAGAGCTGGGGTACAGGCCAGAGATGCGGGGGGGCAGGGGTGAGAGGATTCACCAGAGACAGAGTGGGGAACAGAACAGGCAGACTGACTGAAACACACTGCTGAGGGGAGCAGCAGGCGAGACAGGAGAGGTCTGCTGTGCCATGTGGGTTGCTCCCTGGCTGGCCAGGGATAGAACTTGTGCTGCAGAGGCTGCGGATTGCTTCATAGTGCGGGGCTTAACCCTTTGGGCCACCAGGGAGGACCCTCTACTGGGTTATTTTGAAGCAAATTCTATGTGACCCTAGTAACCAGGAAGGAGAACCCGAAAACAACTTCTCTGGACTTACAGCCACCCGCTCTTCCCCAGGACTGCGGGCACTTGGATCAGCCAAGATGCTTATCAAACATGCAGGTGTCAGGGGCCGCCCCTTCCTACTGAATCAGAATATCATTGGAGGGATCTGGGGGTTTGCCTTTCAGCAAGCTCCCCATGTGCTTCTTAACTAAAGCTTGAGAGCTGGGGTGCTATAGCCTTCCCAAGCCCAAGCTCCTGCAAATTGAAACAGCCCCCAGGAAGGGATCCCATAGCACCTGCAGGAACTCCAAAATGAGAGAAAAGACCAGTAGGTGATCCCAACAGTGCCAGGACATTCTCAGACCTGCTGGAGCCTTACAGCTGGAGTCAGGTGTTCTTGGCCCTGACTTACATGCTTTGTTCAGGGTTCTACTTCTTGGGGCTTGATGTGAATGGGATGGAGCTTTGTGCTCTCTGAAAAAATAGAAATATTCTACTGACAGCTGGGTATGAGAGGTAGAGCCTGCTATAATACCCCCAGGGACAGTCAAGTTCGAGACTGGGAGTCTGGATATATTTGGGAATCGAGGAGGTGGATTAGAGAAAATCTGGCATCAAGTATGTCTGAAATAAACTTTCTTTTGATGTGAGATTTTTGTTACTTTAAAAATACCAGATAGTGCTAAGGGGGAGGCAGAGGACAAGCACATAAAATCTAGCTCTAGCAGGGACACCTTGTTCCTTTAGCAAGCAGCACCTGTGGTAGTGAGAAGGCTGAGTGATTCTCTTTGGTTAAAGCATTAACTAGTATTGGGTATGTTAGCCATCACATTCTGCCACTTGAGACTATCCATGCAGAGGGCTTGAACATCCAAAGTGATTCTTCTGTGGCAGCTCAAAAGGACAGGAGGTTACACATTGGCCTATTATAGGTATTAGGTATTATATCACATGGTACAGAGTTCAAATGGTACAAATCTCCATCTTCCTCCCCACTCCTCTACCCCACATCCATGTTGACAGCTGTGCACTCACCCCTACCTCCTCCACTTACTGTTTCTGGTTTAATATTCATTTACAAACTAACAGGATTTCCACTTCTGGAAGATAAATGTACTTTTCTCTATTTCTTCTGCAAAGTACATCTAAAATTCTCTGGGTATTATATAAAACCAGCACCAAAAGGCTCTAAAACTTGGAGAAGGTAGATCAGTCAGGGACCTCAAGAGCCAAGAAGTGACACAGATTTGAAGCTGGCAACCCCACAAATGCCACTGAGATCAGGCATTAAACAGCCCCGGCAAAAGCTTGTTCTCTTTAGTCAAAAGAGCATTGCCTAGCAACAGAAAAGTGGACAACAATCACTTGGATGACACTACAGAAAAAGCTGTGGCCTCAGCCCTACCAGTACTGAGGCCTAGAGGTCCACTTTCACCCCAGTGCCCCATCATGGGTACTGTCAAAATAGTCTAGGACTTTTGTTCCTTCCCAGCAGTAATTAGGCACTCTGCCTGCCTGGTGTGGGTGAGGGGGAGCATCAGAGGAGGCCTACTGGAGAGTCATGACTTTCTCTACCACCAGGCGGTAATGAGACTGACCACACACCCCCCCATACATGCGGGGAGCAATAATGAGGCACTCCAATGCCTCTCAGCCAGTGAGGTATCAGTGGCGATCAAATGGGGAGCCAGAATTCTCATCCCCAACAAGTAGTAACACTTCTCAAGTAGTCTATGAAGTTAATATTACCCTGATTCCAAAATGAGATGAAGACAGTACAAAAGGCTACAGACCAATATCCTTTGTGAATATAAGATGCAAAGATCTTGAAAATATTAGCAAATAGAATTCTGCTATATGAAAAGAATAATAGATTATGAACAAATGGGTTTCTTCCAGGAATGCAAAGATGGTTCATTATTTGAATATCAGTCATTGTAATCCATCAAATTAACAGGCCAGAAAAGAAAAATGACATGATCTTATCTATCAATGCAGAGAAAGCAAAATTTAATACCCACTCATGATAAAAAGTATGAGAATGCTGCTGCTATTCTGGAAAAACAGTTTGACAGTTTCATTAAAAACTACACATATTGCCTCCATGAGACCCAGCAATTGTTTTCCTGGGTATTTATCCAAGAAAGACAGAAACAGCTTTGTACAAAAATCTATATAGGAATGTTCATAGCAGTTTTATTTGTAATAGGGCCAAACTGGAAACTCCCCAGATGTTCTTAAATAGATGAATGGATGAGCTGTGGTACACCCATGCCTTGGAGTACTACTTAACAATTAAAAGGGACAAATTACTGATACATGAAACAATGTGGATGAATCTCCAGAAAATTATGTTGAGTGATTTCAAGGCAATCCTAAAAGCTTAAGCTTACACTGTACCATTTATGTGATATTCTTGAAATGGCAAAATTACAGTGATGGAAATCAGATTCATGGTGAAAGAGAATGTGGGGTGAGAAGGAAGTAGGTGTGGCCAGGAAAGGCCACATCTTTGTGATGGAAGTGTTCTGTGTTTTGACTGTATGGGTGTCAAGATCCTGGTTGTGAATTGTACGATAGTTTTTGCAAGATATTACCATAAGGGATATTGGGTAAAAGGTACAGGACATCTCTCAGCATTATTTCTTAACCGCATATGGACCTACAGTTATTTCAAAATAAGAAATTTAACTTAAAAAATTATCAGCAGGTAGCATGAAGCACAAGGGTTAATACATTGAATTTGCAGAAAGCTTTGTTAACAAAGTTCTGTCACTGGAAGCTCTCCCTACCCTGTGGTAAAGGACCACTGCAGCTGCTTGTCCACTTTCTCCTAGACTGGCAACCCAGGGGAGAAGAGGCCGGGTTCCCAGTAGCACCAGTAGTACTGGCAGGGAGTTCTCAGGAAACTCAGATGGGGGCAGCCGCTTCTGCTCACTAGGACTAAGAGTGCTCTGAGTTACTTCTGCCAGGAAACAAGGTCAAGGAGTATCCCCCTCTGCTCATGGCTCCCTTTTTCTTGCAGACGCACGCTGCTGTGTTGCTCCACGTCCTTTGTCCCTGTGAGCCATAGGACCTATGCTGATGCTGCGGATGTGGTGGACCCGGTGAGTAGCAGCCCAGCTGGCGTGGAACCAGCCAGGCAGTCAGAGCCCTTCCCACTGGACCCCTAGGCCTTGAACCACTCTTAGAGCAGGGCTCACAGGAGACTTGGAGTCACTTTCCCATTTGTTTAACCACGACCTCCACTCTCCCCATCAAATGAAGTCAGAGATTATGAATCTAGACTCTGGAATCTCTCAGTTCTGATTTCAGTTCTGGCTCTTGTCATGAACAATGTCGGGAATTTTTTCAAATTATGTTTCCTTGTAACATATGTATAATAGTCATGCTTACTATATGGAGTGACTATAGGAATTAAATAAGAATGCATGCCCAGTTACTATGGGAATTAAATAAGAATGCATGCTTCTCACATAAATAATAATTGTTGCTTTAAAGATGACAGTGGTAATAACAACAATGATGATGGGGTGATGGTGATTGCAGATGAGAAAACAGGTCCAGAAAGGGGAAGTAACTTCCCCAAGCCACATTGTTAGTTGGTGGCAGAATCTGGGTTAGAACTCTTATCTCCTGATTCTGAGTCCAATATTTTCCACTTACTATGGTGCTCCTCCAGAAAGAGATGGGCAGGGAGAGCCAGCGCTCCTCTTGCTCAGAGGAGGCCTAATCACTATGCTTTCAGGATCCTCGGTTCCTAACATGGGGTCTGACCTTCTAAAATAGGTTGGCAGCAAAGCTGTTCTGATCACAGGCTGTGATTCTGGATTTGGGTTCTCCTTGGCCAAGCATCTGCATTCAAAAGGCTTCCTTGTGTTTGCTGGTTGCTTGATGAAGGTAAGAAATGGGTCATCTTTGTCACTACTGCCCTTTACACATAGTCATTGTTTCATTCTGTAGAGTTCTTTGTTTAAGTGCAGTAAAATTCATGTAACATAAAATTTACCATCTTAACCATTTTTAAGTATATAATTCAAGTTCAATGGTATTAAATGTATTCATATTGTATAATCATCACTTCCATTCACACCCATAATATTTTTAATCTTATAACATGGAATTCTATACACAATAAGCGATAAATGTCCGTTCTCCCCTCAACCACAAATTACATTTTCTGTTTTTATGAATTTGACTACTCTAAGGACCTCACTTAAATGGAATTACACAGAATTTGTGTTTTCGTGACTGGTGTATTCCACATAGCATATCTTTAAGGTTTATCTATGTTAGAGTCTATTACAGAATTTCCCTTTTTGAGGTTGAATAGTATTCCATTGTATTATATATCTCATTTGGCTAAACCATTCATCTATTAATTCATACTTGAGTTGCTTCTACAACATAAGTGAATAATGCTATTGTAAGCATGGTACAAAAAGAAATGCAAATACCTCTTTGAAAACCTACTTGTAATTCTTTCAGGTATATGTCCGGAAGTAAAAGTACTAGGTAGAAACGGGAGTGAAAGTACTAGGTGGAAATGGGTGTGGATTTTAGATTTTTATTTGGATCTACCAGCTCCCCACTTTGGCCCTGATCCTCACCCTGGAGGCAGAGTGGGAAGGAGCAGGGTATAACAGCTCCTCTCTCCTCCCCAGGACACAGAGGGTGAAGGCGTCAAGGAGCTGGACAGCTTGAAGAGTGACCGATTGAAAACCATCCAGCTCAACGTCTGCAATAGCCAGGAGGTGGAGAGAGCCGTGGAGGAAGTCCGCTCGACCCTGGAGGACCCTGAAAATGGTAGGGGCCACCTTGGGCTACAAGGATAGTACACAGGCCATTCCCAGGGGTCCTTGTTAACTGCTGCTCTGCAGACACCAGTATTCTGTAAAAGGCGGCACAGCAGGTGGAGGTGGCTATATTAAACATGCCTGGGCAGTAAGAGATTGTACAGAAAGCCAGAGATGGTTTCAGAATCTAAAGGAGTACTGAGTGGGGATGCGCTGGTACAGGTCAGTTCAGTCAACCTAATGCCCACTGGGGCCAGGTTCTGGGCTGAGTGTGGCACACAGACTGGGCACAATCCCTTTCCCTGGGGACCACACATTTCTTTGGGGAGCTGAGCCAGATGATTTACATATCCCTTCTCAGGGAGTAGCACAAGATGGAGGGACGCAGCCCAATCAGCTAGGGCAAAGTGTGGCAGAGTGCTGGGAAGTGCATCCCAGGAGAAGGGGAGAGCATGGACATGGGTATGGGACCCACAGAGTGGACTGGGGACAAGTCAGGGAGCCAAGTCTCAGGGAGGTGGTGGCAGCAAATGAGGTTGTGGAGGGAGATGACCATGGCCTGGGGTGCCAGGTGAGGGACCCTGCTGCTCTCTGGGGGACAGTGGGAGCCCCTAGAGGGGATTTTTAGGGGATGACCTGGATAGATTTGTGAAAGCTCACTCTGGGGACTGGGGTGTCAGTTTAGAGGGAGGACTTCAAGGGGGAGCATAGGCATGGGAGTCCTGAAGTAGAGCAGTGGTGTTGAGAAAAAGAATTGAAGGAGAATGGAGAGGCAAAGCTGGCTGCATTTGGTAACTAACGTACGAGGTAAAGAGGAAGAGGCAAGGCACTGGTGCTCCTCACTGGAAGAGCAGGTTGAGGGATGGAAGACGCTGAAGTGCCCATGGGACACACTGGAAGGCATGCTGGGGTTAGGGTGGGTCAGGTACCTAGGGATGGAGGTCAAAGTAGAAGGGGAGGGGCAATAGGAACTGTGGGGAAATATGAGCAACTAGGGATCAGAAAAGGGGAAGAGACAACTGCCACAGGGGTTGGGAACAGTGCCCAGAAACTAAAGAAACATTAAAGTTAGAGGACCAGTAGACAGAGGGTCTCATGCCTTCCCAAGGGAGGCTGCTGGCTTCCTGGGGCCTGCGCTCAGCTCTCTGCTGGCATTTATCAGTCAGGTGAGATGCTGTTGTCCTCCAGCAGCACCTCAGAAATGCCAGTGCTGTGCTCTCAGAGAAGTTGCCATCCTGTCACCTATGTGTCACTGTCATCCCAGTGCCCCCTCTTTCTCAGCAGGCCATTCCCAGGCCCCTCTGCTCTCTAAGGAGAGGCCTCTGAGTTTCTGAATTCACCAAATACCTGTTCAGTAATTAACAGACAGAGCCACGGCTCCTATCCCATTGACAAAGGCAGGCTGGACTCCACTGGGATGCTGACCAGCCTGGAAGGTGATGCCTACCTTGCCCCCGCCCCAGTGGTACAGGCTCCTCCCGTCTGCCTTCCCTGGGCAGCTGGGATACTGCCCTCGTAGACTGTCGGGCAGGAAAGCAGCTGCAGTCGGCACCTAATGCCACTTCGTCACACCCAGCGGGTTGTGGTACTTTTGGTCTCACTCATAGCAGGAATCTAGAAAACTTAAATAAGGGACCAGGAAAAGAATAACTATAAGAAAGAAAATATCAAAATCAACAAACAACTATGAACCAGAGACACTCTATGGGGAGTGGGGGACGGGGAAAGGAGGGATTGGGGTCAAAATAAGGGGGTTGTAATTGTATGGGGAATATAAAAATAAAATTAAAATTAAAAAAATTAATATACCAATAAACAACAACAAAAAATAAAAATAAAAATAAACAAAATGCCTGTGGGAGGGAATCGGCACAGGGGACCTGAGACTGGGCTGCACCAGGGCTGGGGGCCGCTCAGGACCTGATCCTTGTCCCCTGCCACAGCGGCAGAGCCCTGCCATTCCCTGTCCTGGTTTGCCCAGCGAGCCTAACCAGGAAAAGGAGGGGCCTTAACCCACAAGGGATGGGGGGGCTTTAACCAGTCTCACCCCCACCCTTGGACTGGACTCAAACCCAGCACCATCCCTGACGCACAAACTTTTCCCAGTTGTTTTTTTCCACGTGAAGCATTCCAGCAAGGGTTGATAAATCACTCACCATGACTTTACTTAACCACTGCATTTTGTGGAAAAAAACTTAAGTCTGAAAAATAAATCCGTCAGATCTGTGTGTGCTCTGATTCCCCTCCTTCCTCCCCCTTTTTTCCTGGTAAAACTGCAAATTCACAGCATTCTCAGGCAGTGCTGCCCCTGAACACCAGGTGGCGCGTCCCAAAGCTTTCTGGCCAGTTTGAGCCCCTAAGGGGTGGCTTTGACTCACTCCACCAGGCAGGAAACTTCCAGGAGGCGAGTAGAGGGCATATTTTCATGGCAAGTTTGATGCCTTTCACCCTAGTCCTGTAGAACGTTGCTGCCAAAGCCAAGGGAGACAGTCACAGGGGGTAAGATGAAGGGGATTGTCTGATAGGGCGGGTGAGCCATCTGCCACCAGCCATTTTGCTCCCAACAGGATGCTGAGGGACTGGACATCTGGAGTCTGTGACCAGCCCTCCCCACTGCAACCCCAGGACTCTGAGCGAGTAGGTCAGCTAGCAGGCTGTGGGCAAGGCCTGATCCTGAAGCTGCCAGTGAACATGTGTTGAGTATGTGCTGTATACTTGGCAGTGTGCTGAGCACCAGGAGGGTTTGACCTGGCAGAGGTGTTTGCAGTTGGACACCAGCTGAGTGGAAGTTGGAGGCTGGAGCAGGGCCTGAGGGGCACAGCTACAGGACTTGGGACATTAAGGCACAGACAGGGAACACCCTGTATCTGGGTACCCTCAGTATGGGAGTGAGAAGACTGGATTTACTCTGGGTTTTTATTAGGTGTGTGACCTGGGGCTTCTGCCTTTACCTGTGTGGGCCTCAGATTGCACATCTGCAAGGTGGGGAAATCTATACAAGTCATCCAGTGTTCACACCTAGATCTGATCAGTGCAGGAGCACAGGTAGAATTTCAACAAACATTACTCTCAGGCTGAAGGGCAGGGAGCTGAGCAGAGCCAGGAAGCCGCAGAGGGGCCACGATGCAAAGAGAAGATTCAAAGGGTGGAGAGGGGCCAGATGGGCTGTTCAGGCTTAAGGATGGTGAGGGAAAGTGGCTGAGACGCATGGAAAAGGAGGTCTCATGCCCCTCTACAGAAGGGAACCAGAGGAGCAGGAACGGGGTGGCTGACAAATGGAGCGTCTGAGGGGTTGAAATGAGGATGAAGGGGGAGGAGAGAGACCAAGACAGGCAGCCCGGGGAGAGGCTTCTCCAGTAACGGAGGGAGGTCACAAGGACTCAAGCAATTCATGGAGTTAGGAAAGAAGACACCAATTCTAGTGACACGGCAGAGGAAGCCAAAACAGCACAGGTCTGGGTGGCAGCTGTTTCACTGCACCAGTCCCAACACCACAGCCTGAGGGCTGTGTCCCCACATAGACCTGCCTCCAAATTCCATCCTGTCCACCTGCTGTCTGGGTGACACTGAGTAAGGCACTTAACCTCACTGAGCCACACTTGTTTCATGCAGCTATGGGACAATTTATCATTTACTTTATAGGCTGTTTAAGAGCATCAGGTGAATTAATAGATGCAAATTTCAGGACCAGGGAGATTTCCTCTTGATCTTTCTCTGCAATATGAATAGTATCCAGTGACTGGTTAGACAGGGGAGAAGTGAAGCTGCTGGTGGAGTCAAAGAGGAAAATGCAACCATTAACAGAGGAGGACCAGGCTTGGACAGCTGGGGACTGGATGTGTCATCGTGGTTAGAGTGAGTTGGGGACCTGAGGGGCATCCAGGTGAAAGTGACCGTCCAGAGGAGGCGATGGTCAGGAGAGAGCCGTGACTCATGAGGGGCACGTGGGAATTGTTGGATGGAGGTGGTGTTGGGGCTGTGACAGGAAAACAGCTGCCACCCAGACTAGGAGGAAATTGTGTTTAGATGCAGAATGTTGGCTGAGGACCCCAGGGAGCTACCACATCCACAAACTGTTACTACTTCTCAAGTCAGCAGAGCTAGAATCCAGGAGCTATGTGCTTTCACAGGTCAAGTGCAGCTGAACTTTTTTGGATATCAGTGTCAGATTTAATTCATTTTTAGATGGAAAAAGGACTGTGTATCTTAGGTCATGGGGTACTATCTCATATGAATCAAACACAAAGCAGTTGGAAAATTCCATGAACATGGAGAGGACGAGGCTGCTTAAGCACCGAGTATCATCTGAGTGAAGATGGTCTGAGAAATGATAGTGGGGGACTCCTGTAATTAGGGAGGTAAGTAGTGAAAAAGTTCAGGGAGGTTAGAGATGATGCTTAGGTATCCTTAATGCCAAGGAAGGAGAGAGTGTCAAGAACCATCCGTGGTGCTCATACTGTGGAGAGGCTGAGGAGAGTGATGATGGGAACTGCATCCTTAGCCTGTGCACCTGGACACCCCGGAGCAGTGGAAGGGCTGGGACTTAGAACGGCAGGGAAATGGGAAACTGAAGAAAGTAGCTGGTATTCTCGGAAGCCTGACCGCAGAGGGTGGGAAGCAGAGAGTGGCGTGAAGGGGCAACATGGTTGAGAGAAGGTTCTTTAGGAAATGGAGAGATGGGATCTATAGATATTTCCTCACCCAACAAACATTTATTGAGCACCTAATGTGTACAGTGTTGAAGGGAGGAAGCCAGGGTCAAGGGAAGAGCTGAGGTAGCATAAAAGAGAGAATAGTGATGGCTTGCTATGGAAGGTGGAGGGGAAGTGTCAGCCATGACAGGGGTGAGGCCTCCTGCTATTCCTGGGAAGGAGAAAGGGGTAGTGCTCCTCAGGCAGTTTGCAAGGCAGGGTTGGGGTAATCTGTGGGGGATGCAGTGCTGACTCTGATCTCATCATTAGTGTCACTGTGAGGTTACTGGTAAGACTGAAAACTGGAAGCTTCTGCTCAGCACCATGGGGAGTGGGAATGAGAACTTCTGAGCACTTTGTTAACTAGCAATTTCCTTTTCCTAATAAATGTCTTTAATTCTCCATAATTGAAGGAGAAGGCACCAGAGGTCAGTTGATGAAGCTTTAATTTGGGTAACACGGAAGGAAAGCAGCTAGAGACCAATTACTCTGTCATTTACACAAACTCATTTCCATGATTAACTGGGAAAGTGAAGCCAGGCCAGAGTTCCCACAGGCAGGGGACAGCCCGGGAGGGCAGCTCTGCCCTGAGACTGCCTTGGGAAGGAACACAGGGCTTCCTTGGCCTCTAGAGACTAAGCGCTGAGGGTTTCCACAACAAAGGGGCAGGGCCTAGCTCTGTCCTGAGGTTCCAGCTCAGCCAGTCCTTGCACCCCCAATATGGGAACTCAGAGGGCCCTTCAGGACAAGGGGCTGGCTCCTCATTGCCAATGTCTCCCAGTTCAGCTCTGCCTCTGACTCACTGGATAAACTGAAGCCAGTCTTTCCCCCTCAGGACCTCTGTCTCCTTAGCTGTAAGGTTAGTAATCAGACTAAATGTACTCCAGGGAGCTTTCCAGCACCAGTGTTCTGAGCCTACAAAAGCCATCTGTCCCTTAGCTTGGTCTTTCAAGCCATGTATTTTGGAATAGAGTACACACGCCCTGAGCCTATACTCCGCCCTGTGGCTGAGGAGTATTCTCCACTGTGGAGACCAGGTGTATACACCTGGGACACTGGTGAGCAGGCTACCAGGTCCTGGGGCTTACACCCAACCAACAAGCAGTGTATGGTTCAAAAAGGGGACATCAGAAATGCAAGTCATTGTTAGGAGGGCCTTAGGGTGGAGCAAGACTGGTGCCCAACTCGAAATCAAGACTTGGCTGAGCCTCTCATTTGCTGCGTGACCTTGGATCTGGGTCCCCTCTCTGGCCCTCCAGAGAGAGCTGGGCCTAGAAGACTTCTGAGGTTCCTCTGGCTCCTGGCTAGAGGGAGAATGTGAGCAAAGACTCAGAGGTAGAAATGAATAAACAGGTGACCAGTGCTGCAGGGTGTGGGGTGAGACTGGGTGGAGTTAGGGTGGCAGTGAACAAGGTGGGGTGGGACTCCAGGATGGGGGTGCCCAGCAGGCCTACGTCATGATGGGCTTAGAACTTCGATGCACATAGAAGTGCGATGAGGATTAGACATTCTAGACTTACGTAAGGGCAGGCTACAGCCAGTACTGCAGGCTTCTCTATCTCCTGCTACTCTTGGTGACTCTATAAAGTGTTCTGAGAGCCTTGGACAAGAGGGTGGCAAGTCATGGGGAAAAGAGATGAAAATGGGGAGAGAAAGGGCCTGCAGGCTAATGGGTGATAGCCAAGCCCATGTGGCCACTGTGGTTCTGTCCTCTCCTAGGCATGTGGGGCCTGGTTAACAACGCAGGTATCTCAACCTTTGGGGAGGTGGAGTTCACCAGCATGGAGACCTACAAGGAGGTGGCGGAAGTCAACCTCTGGGGCACAGTGAGGACAACAAAATTCTTTCTTCCCCTCATCCGAAGGGCCAAAGGTGAGTTGGAAAGAGACTTTCTTCCTGCCCCCACCTTTTCATCTTTGCTCGGAATGGAAAGCGATCTCAGCAGATGCTGAGCACATGGCTCCCAGGTGTCTCTCAGGCTGCTGGTGAGTAGCAGAGGGGTGGTGTCCAGGCAGAGACAGAAAGGGATGTATGGTTTTCAAAAAGCAGAGCAGGTAAGAGGTCAGCAGTCTATGTGGCAAAGACTGAAAGATGACAGCAGCAATCCCACTCCGGGATCCTGTGCTCTACCCTAGAGAAACAATCACCCTGTGCACAGAGCTTTACCTACACATGATGTATCCCCAGGGGTGTGGTTAAGAAAACTTGGATATATCTATTCTCTGGGTTACTATGCCATATAAAAGTATATAAATGTGGTCTTAAGTAAAAAAAATAATAAAGTGATAATTAAGATTAGAGAGTTTAAAGACAAATAGGACACCCAAACCATGTTAGAAGTCAAAGGTAAGCAAACCACCTAAGGAGTGGCTCAGATTTTCTCCTTACACCATCAAGCAGTTGTGGCCAAAAAAAGGAAAAAAAAAACCAAAAAAAACGGCAATGGGGAGGAATCATACTATCTGGCCCAGAGTTCTAGCAATGTCAGGCTGAACCCAGAGAGCAGCTGTAGGGTTTCAGAAGAAAACCCCAACCCTTCAGCAATGCTGAGCTAAAAGGCTTCTAGAAGTGCCCAGGATGGGGCTGTGCCTCAACTTCCAGGGTGCAGGTCCCAGATCTGCCTGGGCTGCACCCCTCCCTGCTGTCCCCAGGACTAGGAGAAGCTGTGGTCAGCCCCTGAACACCCAGACTGGACCTATGGGAGTCTCTCTGAGGCCACCAGTCTCCGAGTGCTGGAGATTCTACTCACATGACCTAGCCTGAAGTCAGGTTCAGAACCCTACCTCTGCCCCCCATCCCTGCCTGCAGACAGATCCCTGCCAGGTGATAACATTGGCCTCTGGTGAAAATGCAATGGGAGATCGTGCAACCCAGACACCACTTAGCGGTGTGTTGCCCATTATACTGTGCCCTCAGGTGTGCAGTCCTGCCTTTCATTTCTTCTTCCCTGCCTTGACCAGGAATATCAGGGATGCTCATTCTGATGTATTGGTCTGAGCTAGTCTCCTAGCCTGCGTGGTTCAGAAGGCCAGGCCCCGGTCTGGCATACAGCAAAACAGATATGGGAGACCCCCGCCTCTGCCGCACCTGGCAGCGGCTCCTGAGCAGGTGCTTGCTGTCTCCCTTTGTAGGCCGCGTGGTCAACATCAGCAGCATGCTGGGGCGCATGGCCAACCCCGCGCGTTCCCCATACTGCATCACCAAGTTCGGGGTGGAGGCTTTCTCCGACTGCCTGCGCTACGAGATGCTCCCACTGGGCGTGAAGGTCTGTGTGGTGGAACCCGGCAACTTCATCGCTGCCACCAGCCTCTACAGCCCGGAGCGCATCCAGGTCATCGCCAGCAAGATGTGGGACGAGCTGCCCGAGGTGGTTCGCAGTGACTATGGCCGGAAGTACTTTGATGAGAAGATCGCCAAGATGGAGACCTACTGCAACAGCGGCTCCACCGACACGACCCCCGTCATCAACGATGTCACCCACGCCCTGATGGCCCCCACCCCCTACACCCGCTACCACCCCATGGACTACTACTGGTGGTTGCGAATGCAGGTCATGACCCACTTCCCCGGGGCAGTCTCTGACCGGATCTACATACAGTGAAGTTTCCTGCCTTCTCTGAGTCTGGGTGGAACACAGGTGATGGAGGGGTGGTTGGGGGGGGAGTGGGGCGGAAGAGGGAGGGGACAGGGGATGAGAAGCGCAGCTTGTGTAGTCATCTTTTGATTATCCACTTGGGGGTTGTCCCCAGTTCCAGTTGCACTGACCCTCGTGCAGTGTTCGTGATAACCAGAGGGGTTAGCCTCGCCTGGCCCGCGTGAGTGAGTGGCAGGCAGGGCCCCTAAACCTCAGGGCAAACTCGGCGCATCCATCAATCTGGAGTTGATTTCCTACCAAGATTTGTGGGAAAACATCTTTATATTAAAAGCAGATTTATTATAAAATAGAATCTAAGTCCCTTATATTTTTAAACCAAAACATCAGCTCTAAACTTTTTTCCCTGATCCTTCAGTGAGCCTCATAAGTACTTTTTTTTCTTTTGTACACAAAGAATTTGCAGCCCAAAGAGTATATGTGAATAACCCCGTTTTTACTTATGTATGGTCCAAGTTATGTGTTCCTGCCACTGCTTTAGAAACTTAACATTCTGTGTTGCAGGGCTGTGTGCACCCAGTTATCTGAGACCACCCCTCCGCCCCCCGCCATGACCTGTGTCCTCGCCTGAGCCCTACACACCACCACACTGTGCGCCTCTGCATGTCCACGGTGCTGCATTTTACTGGTCAGCCCACAGCCAGTGATTGAGAGCTGACTGTGCGGAGGGTATGGGGACATTCTAGAGATTTCCATTCGAGAGTTCTTCAACCTCTCACTGGACTTAAGACAGACATGTGGAGGTGCTCTTTAGATTAGAGAGCACCTGGTTTGGGTCAGCTTAGGTTGTCTTGGGTATGACCTGTGCTGGTGAGACATCCTGGGCAGGAACTATGGGGTAAAGGCCTAGCACTGTGGCACCTTCTACCCCAGGGTGGGTCCAGGTCCCCTGCCAGTCTCATGTGGTGCTCACATATTACACACACACACACACACACACACACACACACATATACACTTGCCCTTCACCACCTCTCCCAGCCCCAGGACTGGATTCAGGTTCCCTATCTGACTCACATGGTGCTCATACACACACACACCACCCCCACATATCTGTTCTATATGACTCTCCTTCCTGCTGTGGCCTTATTTTTAAGGCCAGGTCACTGACAGAGAATGTTATCATTTCCTGCATTTGGGTTTAAAGACTACCATCCTTGCCTATGCCCAGAGCCTGGATGGCTGCACAAAAACTAGGTACCACCATCTTCCAGGTGGCTGCAGGCCTAGGACAGGGTCCTCAGTGCCAGCCCCACAAAACTAGCACCTTTGCCTCTCCCTGCAAGGGACAGGCCTTCCACTAGAGTGCGCCCTGCCTCCTCCGCAGCCCCAGCCTGGCTCTGCTCCTGACTCAGCTTGCTCCCAAACCTGAGGTCCTGAAAAAAATTTGTGATTCCCACCTCAGAAACAGTCTGGGCACAGAGAAGCAAGGCCCCTTTAGGAACAGCATTCCTGCTCTTCTGACTTAAACTTGGAGCCTGGCACCAAGAAATAGCATAAGAATCTGGGCAGCTGGAACTGGCCACAGGGCTCAAGCAGTGCCAAGAATAAGGAGGGGGGGTCTCACAATGAGCAATTATAGTCTGCCTTTTGGGCCTGTATCTCCTCCGTCTTCAGTTAGGGATGCTCTCTCCCAGCTCCCTGTCTGTAGGGATGATAGCGTGGCCAGGCAGGGCTAAAATTCCAGAGCCTAGAGAAGGACTTTTGACAGCCATTGTGTTTACATAACAAGATCCTCTTGTATCACAGTTTGCCTTTCAAATCTTCTTTTTATATCTTGGGAGATTTTGTTTTCATGCTTAATTTTATTAAAGGAAAATGGATGCAACACTTGGAATTACACTGTATGTGGATACCTGGGAACGGGGGGAAGCAGGGGGAAGATGGTCACACATGCTGGTTGGAATCAGCAGTAAACTGGACACAGGAGAAGCCGCACATTCACCTGCTGGGGTCTCCAGGAGTATGACAGGACCGCCAAGGTCCTGTTGCTTGCAGCAGGCTGTCCTATTTTTTTTTTTTTTTTTTTTTACACCAGTGATTGAAAAACCCAGAGCACCTTCCCTCCTGATAGTCTCCATGCTAATTAAAACCCCACATTTACCATTCACTTTCTAGCAGCTTAATGATGCCAGAAAATTGGAGTAATCTTCCTTATGTGGAAAATGAGATATGTGGAAGTGAGATATGAGAATGTGGAAAATGGGTGCAGGGGCTAGTCTAATTCTCGTAAGAGATGGGAACAGAGGTGGGAGTTCCTGTTTCACAGATGACATACTGAGATTTGAAGTGGACTTGGGTCTCCTGAGTGGTGCTGCTCTTACCATCACCTCACCCTGTAGCCACAACCTGGGAACGAGGCAGGTCAGGTCATCAGGCACCTAGACCCTCACTGCTTGTCCATTGGCACGAGCTGCCCCTTGCAGAAGTGAGGTTAGGAGGCCGTCCAGAGGCTGCCGCCCAGCTCTCACCATGCAATCTGCTGGAAACAAATGGCATTCACAGGCACTGACTTGGGCAGCACTGTCTCCTGCACCCCTACCCCACTCTGCAGGGATTTCCTTGGTCAGTGAGGCCTGAAGACTCTTCTCCTATTGCCACCTAGACCTGCAGCCCTGGGCTTGGGCCCCTGCAGTATACTCCCATCCCCAGAGAACAGGTACAGGTCAGCAGGGCCCAGAATCCGTGATGCGCCCTGTATTTAGCAGGTACGCACACTGGGCCCAGGACAGGAACCAAGCACTTATTATCTAATCTGTTCCTCCGCAGGACCCATGAGGTGGGACAGGGTTCAGTATCCCTGCCAGTCCCACTCTGTCACCCCTATGGCGTGACCTTGAATAAATGACTTTCAGTTCAGGACCTCAGTTGCTGCTTCAGGCAAGAGGAGAGAAAGCCTGCAAAGCCTGATATTGGAGAAGGGGATTCAGGCTAGGCTCAGCTTGACCAAGGGCTTCACCAGTGGTACTCTCTGTGTGGGACCAATGATCTGGTGCCTTCGTGGACACTAACCCTCTTTTGATGACTATAGGCTGGAAGAGGGCTTTTTCTAAGACGCCCCATTGGTGCCTTGCTATAGAGCACACGACCATTCCTCCTGGGACCATGAGGCTGTGTGGGCAGGTGACAGGCAGCCTGGTCCTACCTACCACAAGCTGCTCAGACTGTGCCTCTGCTGCCCATGGCAGGGGTCTGCCAAAGTGTCCCCACTTCTAAGTGCTGTTCACTTCCTGTATTTCAAACAAGGCCTGACTCTGCAAACCCATGTGATGCTCTTTTGGTGTGGGTGCAGACATGAGAAGCAGAGGCTCCCAGCTTGGGTAGCTTCAGGCTCAGGCTGCCAGACGACAACCAGGCACATCTGTGCCGCGCCGGTCATGGCCCACTGCCGGTTCACCTCCTCCTCTCCATGATCCTCACAGCAGTCCTTGGGGTGGTGGGGGGGAACGCAAGGGGGGTTTATTATCTCACTTTCCACATAAGGAAGCAGATTACCCCAAGTCTCATGCCAAGGGAGGGATAGAGCCAGGGGCCAAACCAGATCTAACCTCCAGCCTGAGCTAGTGAGGCATGAAAAGCAGGGCAGATGGCACTAAGATCTAAAATAAGGAGGGGAAAAAATACCTCAATTATGTAAGAGAGCGAAAAATCTGTAAGCATATGCACTGTAATAACCACAGAGCGCTGCCACATGCACTCACTCCTCCTTTTCTTCCTGCTTTGGGCTCTGGGTGCTGCACCCTAGAAGAGAATGTGCTGGGGTAGCCCAGGGTCCCTCCAAGGGGAAATCTGCCTTCTCTCGGCTTCTCGGCTGACAGCGCATGTCTCCAAGGGCATGCTCTAGGAATACCAACATCCTGGACAGAGATGTTCTGGAGATAGCGCCAAAGGGCTTCAGGATATATGAGCACAGGTCTTGGGAGTGTTCAGATAAGAGGACACCAGGAGGGCTCTGGGCCCCAGGCTCCAGGACTCTGGTGGAGACTAAACAAACAAGCCAATGAGCCCAGAGCAAGTAAGCCTTCCTGGTGAGTGTAGGCATTAAGGAAGGTGATTTGTGAATGGCAGCTTCACAGGTGTAGGGTGACCATCTGCTGGGCCAGGCACCAGGGGCCAGGGCCTGGGACAAGGGCTGGGAGAGGCTCCCAGGGACCCCAGGACCTCAATCAAGGAAACGGGAGCCATCATCAAGACAGACTCCCGGCCTCCTGGAATCTGGCCAGGCCTTGACATCCTGCAGTGATGGAGAACTCATTACTTCCCAGGAGGGTATTTCCTTGGTTAGAGAAAATTTATATAAAGACTGAGCTGAACTCTGCCACTACTAGTTTAATTCCTTTGGCACTTGGCCATGACCCAGAACCACCCACAACACTGGGTATTTGGAAATGACCACGTCAGAATCAAGGGCCCAGGTTCCTCATTGAGCAAGGTTTCCGTACTCACCACACAAAGTTTTGCTGTGCTTATCCCAGCCCTCAGTCCTGATGGCTCATACCAGGCTAAATGGCCACCTGAGTCCCCTCAAGCAACCAAGAACTTTAGCACATTCGGTGAGATGCTGACACCTGTGCGTGCCCCTGCCCCTTCACAACCAGCCAAGCTTGAGCACTCCTCTCTCCTGATCCTCGGAGCCAGCTTATAGGTTTGGCAGGACCACTGTGCCCTTTCTACCAATGCGAAATGGCTCGGGAGGCAAGGCAACTTGCTGAGAGCACAGAGCCAGGAGCCCAGGCCCACCAAGGTCGATCCTTTGGTCCCCTTCCTTTATGCCAGATTACTTCATTCTTCCCACCAGGGCCCTTGGGTGGGGCTGGACTCCTGTCAGTCAGAGGCTGGCCGTGTAACCTGAGGAGTGATGGGTGTGAGCATTTAACTCAGCTTTCTCCTAGGCCATGGTTTTGCTGAGAGCAGCACAGAGAAACTGAGCCTTCCCATGTCTCAGGGCAGGCGTGTCGTCGTGTCTGTGTGTTCTGCCCGCAGCCTGGTCCCTTATGGAGCACCTGAATGGAGAGAGAAGGGGCCAGCGAGCGCTCCCAGGATGTTGCTGAGGACTGTCCTGGCCTCAGCATCCAAGAACATGTGTTAGAAGAGAGAGCATGTGAATGGGGACTAACCTCAGGGGACACTGATCCCAGAAATACCTTGCGCTGCTCTCTTAGTGAGACTTAATTACTCCATAAAATGTGAGGCTGCTCCCACTTATCAAATTATAGGTGAGCTTAATTACAGCTCACTGAGTAACCACACTGGGCTTCTTCAGAAATAGCAGTGGGCCGGCTGCTCTTCCAGCTCCAGTGACAGCTCCTCGGTTTCAGGAGGAATGGTCCTTTGTCCAGGGTCTCCATGCTGCTAAGCTCTGCTCTCAGATGGGAACCAGCTTGGCGGCCACCCCGGGCACTCTCGTCTACTGGACCCCCTGACTGGGGCTGCTTTCCGCTGGCAGGGACGCTGTGGGCGCCCTGGCCTGGTGCTCCGTTACTGCACTGCTGCTCTGCCGGGGTCTCTCGCTCTCCTCCTTCTGCTGTGTTCTGGCCAAAGGTTTTGGCTGATATGTCTGATCAAGGCTCACAAATTTGAGAGAGACCTGCCATCAGAAGCAAAGAAGGCCTGGTGCTGGCTGAGAAACGGACTTGAGGGAGACTCAAGGGCGCCTTTGCTGAAGCGGGGTAAAGAGCAGCAGGCCGCTGGGGACTGGTGAAAGTTCGGTGACATCATGAAGAGCGTCATGCGCTTCCTTGCAGGCTGACAGGATCCTCAGCCTTGTTCCAATGGGAGGCATGGTATGATCACAGGGGCTTTGATGGGGATGTAGGAGTGGCTGCTGAGAGGCCCCCGAGTGGCCGCAGCCTTCCCTATGTCAAGGTGCAGTCTCTTGCTTCCTCTCCCTCTGCACCCTTTATTATTTGACTCTCTTCTTTGTGCCAGACTCTGTACTGGGCACAGAGCTTCCATTGGCAGGTAAACCCCTGGACCCCCAGAGCTCACCTCTTGCCCAGGAAGGTGGAAAGATTAACCCAGGGTTACAGATACCACCACTCGGGGAGGAAGTGAAGAGCTTTGTTCTATGAGGTAGGAATAAAATTCTCAACCTACCCACAACCTAATTTGTCTTCTTCCCTTCGTGGCCTCGGAGCCCCAGGTGGACAACAGATGTGAGGTGGCATGAATGGGCAGGGGTCCCTTCCTACTTGGGGAGGCCCCTGATTTTCTCAAGGGAAAATTAAAAGTGAGCATTCCTGGAAAAGCATGGCTGGGCCTTGCCAGATACCAGCAACATGAGGTGGTCAAGCAAACGGTGCTGGGACCACCTGAAGAATGTGCAGGCAGGGACTCCTGTGACCCAAGGGCCTGGGCATGTGGTCTGGCGGCTAAAGGGAGAACAAGACCAGATGCTTGGGTTGAGAGAGGCATGGAAGTGTGGACACCACCTCAGGGAATGCCACAGATTTTCTAGTGTTCTCCTTGGGGGTTTATTTCCCGAAAGGCTAAGTGCCCAATAAAAGAAAACCATAGCCATAGAACACTAAGAGCTCTTAGGGGGAGGTCTTGTTTTCCTACGGCAGTGTTAAAGGGGGAAATCTGGAGAGTCACCAAATTGGCAGCCCCAAGGAAGGAAACCACTAGTGATGACCTGCAGCCACAGGTACAGGAAAGAAATTTCTGGAAATTTCTTTCTTGGAGAGATTGGGTAAAAAGAACAGAAAGTTTGAGCCAGAGAGAACTGACTTTGAATCCTGTTCTGTAACCTTTGGATTGTATAATACCGTCAAGTCATTTGTCTCTCCAACCGTAGTTACTTCAGGTCTAAAATAGGGATAGCAGTGGGT